TTGAATGTGCTCTGTCTGGCGATCTCTGTCACTAAGGTTGGCGCAAGAGGTAGCCAGTTTAAGAAGCACTTAGTAATTAACGAGTGGGTCGGGGAACGAAGGATTTAATGTTCTACTTTAGTTACGATAGGTTTTGGGAAACACTCGTAAATTAACGATCTATCTTAAGAGCGAGTTTACGATGTTCTAAGCGCTACGATGCTTTCGGGAAACACCCCAGGTTTGCAGATAATATCAAATAAGGAGGGTTAGAAAATACTGTAGAAGCAGCAAATGAAATTATAATCAAATGCTGAGATGTGTTGCAAATGTATTCCATTGATATGAATGTCCTGATTTGTTTTACATGTTAGGACTGTTAGGAATTGGATCCATCTTTGACAGCGATAAAATGGTGAATATTCAGTTCATCTAAACTACCTGCCACCCCAAGGGAATTCTCCTGTGAACTGGTACCACAAGATGGAAATAGCAAGTTAGTCATACAGTTGTGACTAAATAGGGTGGAGAAGACCTCGACAGCTGATGACATCTCAACCAGTCACCAACTGTGATTACCAGACTTTATATTGTAAGCCCAAAAACTTTACTCATACTCTGTCTCTCTCTCACACTTGAGACCTGATATACTGTACTCTAAAACAATCACATGACTGCCACCATAGTCAGAACTTCAAGAAACACCAGTCTAATAATCTGTATCTTCTGACTTGCAATCCAATTACAATTTTTCCTGATGAATGAAATTAATATAGATTAAAAAAATAAATTTCCCTGCACCACAGGACATCCTTGGCACAGACAGCACAAGTACATTTGACATAGCTATGATAAACTCATGCAATCTGTCTCCCTGCAATATTTTGAAATCTTTTCTTAATACTAGGACACACCTGGCTAGTGTGTTGTTTGGATTATTATTATATGTTCACAGTAAAAATCCTAAGAATTAAACTATGTATTATAATAAACTTAGTTTATTACCATAACTCAATCTTTATATCTTTAACAATATGAATGTGATTCATTATATACTTTACATTACGATTGACAACAACAAATGTTGGAGTTGATATATTTTAACAATGATTTTGTTCATATATTTGTAATGTATTGGATATTTGGAATTTCTGAGCACATTATTTTTGTGTCAAATTGATTCCTATTAGTTCTTTTATGGCTATCACAAGTTATTGTTCCAACTTCTAATTGTTCCAATATATTCAAACCTTAACATCACTCAATTGCTTCCTTTTCTGAGTTTTAAATGCACTTCCCTGTGTGCTCTAGTTCGTGTTAAACTGTTGATTTTGAACCATTCCTTTACATCCCTTTTGTTCTTGTAATACTGATGAGCCTTTAATTATATATTTTAGACCAGTCAGGGAAATGGGGATTCTCTTGTACATCCCTTGCAGAAATAGAAATTAATACTTTTTTAGTTTTTTTTTTCCCTCTGACAAATTACTTTGCTGAATAGCCTTCATCTGAGTAGCACTGTGATCCAAGATAAAGATAATTATTTTTGTTTTGTTTTCTTTAGAGTGCCATGGTGGCACAGTGGTTAACATTGTTGCCTTAGAATGGTAGGGTCCTAGGTTCAATTCTGGTCCTGGGGAACTATCTGTGTGGTGTTTGTATGTCCTGTGTTTGCATGGTTTTCCTCCTGTTGCTCTGGTTTCCTCTCACTGTTCAAAGACTGACTGGTAGATACAGTAAATTGGCCCTGGAGTGAGTATGTGGGTGTCTGTGTGTACCCAGCAGAGGACTGGTCATATCCTCCCTTGAGCCTGTTGCATGTCAACATGGGCACAAGCTCCCCTCTGAGCCTGTATTGGATTAAGCTGTTAGAAGATGGATGGTTTACATTTTTTTGTGCTTGCTTTTAGCTCTGCAAAGCAATCCCTGTACAGTATGTTTGTCTTCACTTCATCTCCAAGCTGTTTGTTTTGATCTTGTTTGAACTGAAGGTGATCAGTGTGTGTTATCTGTTATATTATAATTGGTGAATTGCTAGTAATCTCCATGATATTGAGATAAATTGTATGGATTTAATTTTCTCTGGTTTTTAGCAGGGACGTGCAGAGTGTGGTGGCTACAGTGGCCCCTTTGCCCTCATTGGCCCAAGTGCCCTTTTAAGCTTGTAGAAAAAATGTCAAACCAATTTCATTTTTTTCACCACTTGACGATTATGCTTCTGTATTTAGTACAGCTCTCCCGTTAGGAAAAACAAATGTTGGACCTAATTGATCTCATCCAAGCACAAGTGCCCACCTCCTGTTCATTGTAAAAAGCAGAGAAAAAAGCATCGATAAGCAACTTAGGCTACTACACCTGTGGAAGTCGTGTTAAACCTTTCTGAACAGTGAGAAGATACACAGATTTTTCAGAAGGACTGTACAAAAGTAACACACCTAGGGTGTCGTATTGAGCACTTTTTATTTAAGAAAGACTATTTTCATTCACCTATTCTAGGTTTGCAAACTGACGAACTCACCACGTTACTGTCTGCATGGCTACTTAGCGAGCTAAATGAAAGATTTTCTTAAGAAAATTTAGTTCAACTGAGTAGACAAACCAGTCTTTCTATATTTAATATAAGCAGCTCACATGCATATTCTTTGTTGTATATATATGGTTCACTCACAAAAAACAGGAGAGCATGCCTTCAGAAAAAAAGAAGAAAAAATAGAAAAATAATTTAGGGAAGCAGCTAAAGGGATTACAATAGTAATAGAGATATCATGCTTTATAAGACAAATAAATGATCTGTATCTTTTTATTTAGCTGACAGATGATCATTTCTAGCATCTTACTGAATCTTTGATTTGATGTGCTATCATGTGAACATGTGCTCTTAAAATGGGAAGAGATTGCATTTGCTATTGCATGTAATTAGATTGTAATTCTTTTATTTGCTCTGTCCTGTTGTTAAGATGTGTTATATCAGGAAAATGAAGTATATGCTCAGTAGAGGGTGTGTAATATCTTGTCTGTTAATCATACAAAATCAGCAATTATGGACAACCATTTTTTTTGGCCAAGGTTGTGAATATTATAATGCCTCTGAAGTTACATCCAAACTTCCTGTAAAATTAAAAAAACACAGAAATACAAGCGGACACCGATTTGTCCAGGATACTCTAATGAAACAAATCCTGCCCCGAAAAGTGCCTTTTGAGCCACAGCCCACTAAAAGGTCTCTGCACGTCTCTGGGTTTTAGGGAAATCTTCTGTACTGTTGAAAATAAATAATGAGAAATGTTTAAATTAACAACAGCAACAAAAACCCGTTGTACTATGGAAACCTCTCTCAGATTATGAAACTTAGAGATTCGAGTCCTTTATAATACTAAGTGGCGCAGTCAGAATATACATTTTATTACTTAAAAGCCATAGCGCAAACGTTACATGTGTCTTGTGTTATATACTCTTGTTCATATTGTATTTTTAATAATAAAAAACGTTAAAAAATTATTGCGTTATTTCGTTTCAAATGTCCTCTAATTGGCTCATTTACAGCAATTATTTATGTTTTTAATATAATAATAAAATGTGCACACAATTTTATTTTTGCTGTTTGCTAATTTGCTCATTTTACATATATATCTAAAAAGTATTTGTTCACAAACAAGAGTTCATATAATTTAATACGTATAGTATCATGCCAGTAAAAGATATTTAAAAGAAAACAGCGAGCGATGAAAAACTCATCAGTATGAGTTGTGACATTTTTTCAGGCACAATCACTGTAGCCTGAAAGTAGATTATTTAACATGTTTTTCATTGAGATACAGCTGTATCGCGACAGTTTGCACTGTTGTCTGGTTCCAAGATTTTGCTGAAGCAAATTAAAGTCACACTTCATGGAAACCTATACGACTGCAACTATCCATAAAAGGCTGTAAACCAGACAGTCTTAGAATCTGGGTGGAATGTGGTAGAAGGAATGCAAACTACCAGGCTGGATACACGGATACAACAATTAAGCATTTTTTAGGTTTTGTTTTAGAGCAACCTGGTAACGATTTCAACTCCCCGATTCTATACCTGTTAGAATAGTCTTCTTCTGGGATTTCAATATATTTTATGCATAGATTATTTGATGTATTGATATTACTAACAGAAATAACTTGATATTTAAATATGACATAAATCCATTAATGCGGACAAAGTGATCATAGAGAAAAGGGTTGAAAATTACATTCTATAATGTTCTGTGTAATGTTCTCCTAAGTTTTTTTTTATAGAAACCTTAGTTTCTATAAAATAACGTGGTGTGATACTGGTCAATATCAGCAGGTGGCGTACTAATGATAATTATACAGGGGGTAAAATCGCCAGACTAAAAATCCAAGAAGGGCAAAATAGTGTATTTATATTGTATTGCTTATTTATCTTTAAGTGGATTCTCACTCTAATTGAATTCTGTACAAATAAATTGAACATACCAATATTATGTAGCATTGCACCTCTTTATGAACTTTGAATGTTGTGATTTATAAACATCTACCTTCGTTTTCGCCATTTGAACTACTCTGAACGTAATATAAACATATGTAATGACACATCAATGTTTGTGAAATAATTAGAGAAAAAATAAAATGTATACAGTACCAATATTAAACCAAGTATACCAAGCTAAAAGTACAAGTATACAGTTATAATTTATCCATATGTGTCTCAATTTATCCGCACCATTACTAGTCACCACCATTGGTGGTGGTGGAGGGGAGTCCCCATTACCTGTAAAGCGCTTTGAGTGGAGTGTCCAGAAAAAGCGCTATATAAGTGTAAGCAATTATTATTATTATTATTATCTCTGTCCAAAACGTAGCGTTCTGTGTAATGAAATTTGCCATTCTAGTGTACTTGGTCAAAGAGAGGTTAAGGATTGTGTCCTGCTATATATAGGCTAAAGCTGGCAAGGGGCGGAGTTAAGTAAAATCGTTTTCTTTAAAGTCACCTCCTATATAAAGATGACAAGCCCTCTAGGAGACTTTTATCCAAAGGACTGGCTGTCCCACAGGCTGCTCAAGCACCATGCCAGCCAAACCTGCCCCCATCAAGAAAGCACCCGCCAAGAAGGCAGCTCCAAAGGCAGCGGAGAAGCCGGCGGCGCCTGCCCCTGCCCCCGCTCCTGCTCCTGAACCCGCCCCTGCTCCTGAACCCACACCTGCACCCGCAGAGCCTGCACCTGCGCCGGCTGCGGAAGCTCCAGCTGAAGCAGCCTCTCCTGCAGAAGGAGCTCCGGCCCCACCAGCGGAGGGCGACGCAGCACCCGCTCCCCCGGCAGAGAAAAAGCCTGCAGAAGAACTCGCAGCTCCACCACCCCCACCTCCTGAGCCAGAAAAGCCAAAAGATGGTAAAAGCAGCCAGACCCCTCAGAAAAAAAAAAGTTTCACCCGCTGACTTGCAGCTCAAACGTTGCGTTAAAAGTTCAGCATTAAAGTGACACAATTTTTAACGGTTTCATAAATATTAAACTCACATTTTGCTGCTAGTCATGAAAATGGATGTCTTTGTAAGGTAATATTATGAAATAAGGTATATTCTAATATTTTTTGTTGTTGTTGCTGGGAAACTAGAGCCCACCTCTGAGCCTCTAGGTTTGACTGTGGAGGATGTCAACGATACTTCCGCGACAATCAAATGGAGACCCCCGGAGAATATTGGTGCCTCGGGGCTTGATGGATATACAGTGGAATATTGCAAAGATGGAAGTAAGTTCAGATGTGCTATCTATTCTTTATATAACGTATTTACATCTGGAGTCACCAATACAACAACGATCACAAACCCTCGGATACGCAAATACAAGAAACAATACCCGCAATGACTTGACTATTCAATTTAATTTAATTAACATGTATATTATATAAGGAGGCCCACGTCTAAAGGATGTCTGTAGCTATTTACTATGTACATTTTGATTGGAGCTCACAGCAGTTAATTGCAGCAAACTGGAATGTTAAAACTTGCACAATTTAATGGTAATATCTTAATAGAAACTATTCTATTAAAAATATTATTCATACCAGAATTAAAGTGTTGCCAGGGAGAAAATGTACCTAACATTCAACTTTAGATATTTTAATGACAATTAAAAATGTGACGTGTTGCATGAGTTAATACGGTAAGAAGTGGGAAGACCGTAGCGCAGCTTTTTGAGAACATTAAAAGATCGATTCACGGTGTACAATGAATACATGCCATATCTTGGCAGAGCAATGTTATTTGTTTTAGAAGGACTCTGCAGATGAATTAATTGCGCTACTATGAGGATGTTATGTAAAGATTTTCCTTAAGGTTACTAGATAAACTAAAATTAGACTCGGGAAACGAATTCCAGAACCATCCACTCCATACCAAGACATTTTTAAAGTGAAAGGCACTCAGCAGATTCTTTAGATACACTGTAAGCACCTGTTAAGATTGTGGATACTGCACTTCAAACTTTGCAGCTCTCTGAACTAATTAAATTCCGTAATGTAGAGTGTTAGGTACTCTGCTCTCAAGGAATGAATTTAAGACACCGAATAATGATAGGAATTTATTTTTTTAAAGTTTACTTAACGCTTTTAAAAAGTTTATTTGGGAAATAAATTAGACGTTAATTGCAATCATAACAGTTAAGAATGTTCATACTAAAGTTTCACGTTTAATAGCAATATTATTTCATGTGTTAATTAATATCCAACCCAGAGCAGAGGCAAAATTTCGAAAGCCTTCAGATTTCAATGTATAGGCTCAATGAAAATAGCTGACTTAACACGTGTCGTTTCACTAAACCTTATTTTAGATGTTAGCTAGCTTGACCAATGACCCCTCTGAATGCAGTTGTAAATTTAATGAAAAAATATAATTTTCTTAGCAGCGCAACTTTATCGGTAGCACCTGTCTTGAATGTGTCACCAGCAGCTTGATTCCCGGCCGGATTTTTGTCCCTATTTGGAAGACTGTCTTAGAGCCGCTGTCACTGTATCTGAGAGACACGCACGCATTTAGAACTCAGAATAAACGCAAATAGAATAAGTAAAGTCTGAAATTGAACTAAATAAAATACACGAAAAACAAATCCATATAATAAGCTATGACTTATGATTATTAAAGGGGAAAGTGATCATTTCTAAATTTTAAAACCATTTGATATATGATTCAAATTAATAAAGCAAGTGCTGTCTGGAAGTAGTGCTGCTTGCATCAGCAATAAGAACAAGTATAATACTGGGAAGTTAACTGCATGAGAGGAAGTAATTATTAAATGTAACCTGCATATACTGTACTTAGGGCATGTGTTTTTAACTCAAATATGTGATTTAATACATAGCTCAAGTATATACAGGCAAAACCTTGTATTGTAAATTTTGTTAAACCTCCAAAAAACAAGAAAAAAAGTTAAAACCCAAGCCTTGTGTTTTTTATATTTGTTTTAGAAAATTAAAGATGCCATACGCATATATCATATATACAGTATGTTCTCTGTCTCCTAGTAGTGCCCTGAGTGAGTTAACCACTTTCTGATTTGAAAACTCTCATAATCAGTCCTCTAATATAAACTCTTATCTCATTCTCTAGCTCAAGACTGGGTGGTAGCTAACCAAGAAGTCATTGTTTCCAACCGCTATGTCATCAAAAACCTGACCGCTGGTGATAAACTGCACATCCGCGTAAAGGCTGTCAACCCTGGAGGAGCCAGCGCCCCTGCTGTCCTCGAACAGCCTGTTGTAATTCGGGAGATCATTGGTGAGTGTTGATTACAGCCCCAAGAGCTGTAAGGAGCACCTTCAGGTGCTTCAAGCTTCAAGCCTCCACGTTCCAGATTCATGCAAGTTTCATGCATACTGTATTTCACATAAGTTTATGCTTGTAGTTTCATGTAATGGGTGACTGCTAAAAAATTTGTATCTGCAGAATTGTGCTCAATTCCTACTCTTCTTATGTTAATGTATTGACTTTCACCCATTTTAAATATTTCTCTCTGCTGATGAGCTGTTCTTGCAAAAAGAGTTTTTGAAAAGATAAAAAGCTAAGTGTGAGAGATTGGCAAAGGAACAAATTTTTAAAGTGTAGCAATACTTGATCTTGAGGCTATGTCATTATATTTTGGTTTCCTATCACATTGCTTAGTGTTTGAGAAAAAAGTGTTGTGTTTTTTAAGAAAAAACTTCAAGTGAAGTTTGCAAACAACAATCTAAAGCACATTTTTGGCACAGAATAACACTATGCTAAAACAGTAGTGTATGTTTCTCCAGGCATGGGAACAAAGTATGTTTCCTTAGGCATTTTGTCTAGGGGAACTGGTGTTTTAGTTGTCCATGTGACTGCATATGTTGTGTTAGATATGTACTATATTCAGGATGTAGGCTGCAATTTTGTCTCGACCTTTAATCAGTCATTTTGGCAGGGCCATGTTCTGGCTCCTATATCATGCCAAATGCTCATTCACTTCCTAATCCATCTTCTTGCCTGACCTGTATGACCATTAGGAAGTTGTGACAAACCAAACACACAAACACACCCACTTGCTTCATACAAACATGTTATCTCCATACACAGTAATTATTAATAATAATAATAATAATAATAATAATTGCTTACACTTATATAGCGCTTTTCTGGACACTCCACTCAAAGCGCTTTACAGGTAATGGGGACTCCCCTCCACCACCACCAATGTGCAGCATCCACCTACATCCACAGTGAGTAATTTCCTTATATTTGTACAGTACAAACACCTCTACCCATATGCTACAACAGCGAATGTCAAAACAGTTAATATTAGTTGCATGTGATTTAAACTGCAAGAACATGTCACAATTTAAACATTAAAGAAGTAATTCAAGGAACATCAAGAAACATCAAGAAAGTAATTAAAAGCTGATGGTTATATGAAAATAAAAAAAACTTAAAGTTTTAGTTTTGAAGAACATAAATGTGGTGGTTAGCATTCCTGACTTGCAGTGCTGGGTCCCTAAGCTCAGTTCCTGGGGTTCTATCTATATGGAGTCTGCATGTTCTCTCCAAGTTTGTGTGTTGCTTTATTTGCTCTGGTTTCCATAGTCCAGAGACATGCTGGTAGGTTAGTTGGCTTCTATGAAATTGTCCCTGGTGTGTGTGTCTGTGTGTTCCTTGCAATGGACAGTCCATTGAGTCCATCAAGAGTGTATCCCATCCTGTGTACAATAGTTCCCATTGGACAGCACTAAAGGAGACAGAAGCATTAGAACAGGTGCACAATACTGTGATCTTTGAGTGCTACAATACATTTATTTCTGGTTCTCATTTCATGTCAGACCTCATTGATTTAATTGAACTACTTAACTGCTACATCAAGTCTAGAAATATTAAATAACTGATTTTTCCCAATGAAGAGCAGGTCTATCCAATTTTCAGTCCTTTCCAGTGTGCTTCATTTTAGAACATGTAAATCATTTATTTGCTATAACCAGATCCTTGATTATGCAACTAATATTCAGCAGAATATACATAGCTATTAAGGAGCTGGTTATATTAAAGTTCTGGAATGGAGTTGATTGGAATTAAATAAAATAAATTATACTGTTTTTTAAATTGTCCTCCAACTAGGAGTAGATTAAGACAATATCATTCTCACCCTGTTCCTGCAATTATACGCTCTCTATCTCCTCCACAAATCTCACTGAACCCTGAATTGCATTTGCCTTATTTAAATATATTTATTGCTGGGCCTACCTCCCTGAAAGGCACTGTTGAGCATGCAGCATGTTAATAGTTGAGATTTGTATTTAAGGGGCTAAAACTAAACCAGAAAAAATAAAAAAGATCACTAAGAAATTACACGAGTTGCTACAGTCCAGTAATGGGTAGAGCCCTTCCAAACGTTTGTGTAGTGCATGGCTGTGTGCAAACTTTTTTGCCTGGGCTAGTCTGAACATAGACACATTATGAATTGTTTCCCTGAAAAAAACAACTGTGAAAAGAATTTTACCAGAATTCTTGGAAGATAACTAGGAAGCATGGCTATTAACAAGGCTTAAGAAATAAAAGGTCTGCGAAACACCATATCCTTTGATGGAATGCACACTTAAGTGGGTTGGGTTTCAGTATTCCCATAAGAGTGATAGTGACAAGTGTTTGTAGGGGGTGAAATTCCAGGGGACTCCATATAGAGCAAATAGCGGACATGCAACCTCATGTATCACATAAGCCTCTTGAGCCTCCCTAGGATTTGCTGTTTATCTTTAAACATGCCAAGGTCTCTGCATCTGACACACAGACCTACTTAAACTAGACACTTGAAACCATTCATACCTAAGGTGGAAAATTGTAAAACCTGTTATATATAGTATGTTTATCATAAATTTGCCAAGCAACCTCTCAAGTTTACCACAGTCTTCTTCTTTTACCTCATATTTTACCTTGCGTTCACAATGTTCTTTTGCAAACAGCCTGTTTACAAGACCTTTGGGTAATAACAGTAAATGCAGCTTTATTTGGTTTGCACATGTTTGTGGTTGGTTCATTAGCATGACAGGAACATTTATAGTTATAACAGATTTGCTTAATCAGACAGTCCTCAAGCCACATTGTGCACAACTGTCACTAGGGCCTATAGTGATTTGATAGGTAGAACTACCTTTTCCATCAGATTGAAAATAGAGCCCTGTGTCTATGAGTAGAATGTTTGTCCTGTACTGTATTTGTATTCTTTATTACTTTCGTGCTTGGAAGTTCTTTGGATCAATGGAAAGGTTTCAGATAACACATTTTATCAGACACATTTATCCGTTACATCACATAACATTTTAAATTAAATATTTTAAAATTTCATTATGTGACATTTATGTATTGATTTGGTATACTATACTAAACACACTGTTTTATTTAAGCTAAGCAATAAATGAGGATGCATATCTGGATAATCGGTCTTCCTATATACACAAAATAATTTTAAAAATATATTCTCTTCCCAAATCCACAGATGTGTTTTAAATAAATTCAGTATAACTTGTGTTCCCCTGTGACACTCTATTGAATAAATGGGTTGGAAAATGGATGGATAATATAACTCACTTTTTGTACCTTATTAAATATTAAAAAGTGGTCAGTGTCTTTTCTATATGATGTATATGACTGCTAAATTTAATTTTAGTTTTTCAACATGTGTTGCAAAGGGAACTGTCCAGTTATTTGTAGTATATATGACCTCTTAATATAGATATTGAACTTTCAAGATTTATATTGCTGTTTATACTGTAATTTTAAGGATCTTGGAAATGACTGGGTTGGGAGTCACAGGGTGTTGAACCCGTACTGATTGCACACTGAGTTGTGTCGAAGATCAATGGTTTGGATATATGTGTGTCTCTAGCTGTGGCTTGGATTCCCTTCCGACTGTGCAGAATTGTCTCAGTGCTGCTGGAGGGAGTGTTGGAACTCATTGAGCAGACTCTCTCACAACGCCGTTGTTGAGAGATGCACCTCTCCTCTGTTCTCCACCTGTAAGAACAGGGGCCATAATTCAGATGTATAGAGACAGTTGGTGATTCCAAATTAGGTACAGTAGATGTATTTATTAAAAAAAAACAGGTGGTTATTTTTAGACACAGAAGTGTCAGAAGACAGTGCCTGAATCACTATAGCAATTACATCTTCAATTTCTGCCGGGAAATAAGATTTAGCTATGTGATAAAAATAATAATTTAGTCACTGTATTTCAGTGGGTAATGACTTAATATTGCATTTTGTGCCATGTGCATCTTTAATACATTTCTTTTGTTTTCTGCTTATGGTTTATGTTTGTTTAATTGAAATCATAACACTAAGAACCAGCTCCAGACAAATATGCTGTATCTTCTTGCAAGGTCCAGGAGAAGAGAAGGTGCAGAAGACAGAGAAGTGTGGGTTTAATTAACACCAGTGAAAACTGGCCTCTGTTTAGCCTGAGTTTTTACTGAGTTTTCCTTTTACTTTAACTAACAGAGCTCTCAATATGTTCCATTGGCTGCTTAAAAGTTGTTTTTCTAGTCAATATAATGTATTACTATTGCAAATAGTACAATTACTGTATGTCAATCAGATCTCAAAATGACAACAATCAAGATGAATTATTGTTGTCAGGGACCATTGTTCCTGCCCTCTCTGATAAGATAAGATGGTTTATTTTTAGATCATGTAAAGGTTAAATTAAAGTAACCTTTGATTTGTAAACTATTTGTTTGGTTACCTTCCTTTTCTGATCTCAGATCGTCCCAAACTTCGCCTTCCACGCAACCTGAGAACGACCTTTGTCAAGAAAGTGGGCGAGCAGGTCAATCTTGTCATCCCTTTCCATGTAAGAATCTTGCTTAAGATCCACTTGGTTTCCATGCATAGAAACATCTGTAATATGTGTGCTACGAGGTCTCTGCTAAAAGCCACTGTACAAAGGGGCTTGCCTGCTCTTAGACTGTGCCAGTCTCCAGTTCTGGCTATGCATTCTTTGTGACAATACAGTGGTGCTCCATGATCATGACAAGGAATGTCTTTGCATACAGTAGTAACCCTGCCCATGTCTGTCTTTTGTTTGTGATACTAAATGTCATTGGTGGGAGGTGTATCTCTCCCAGGTGGTACTAAGATACTGTCATTGCACTGTTTGAGTTCCAAATTTGTGTCAGAGATGAAAAACAATTACATCTTCTAAAGTGAGATGTGCGTGGTGAAAGTTGTTGCTTTTTATAAGATGGAATATTTTCATATTTACCTAATATGCACCTAAGTACAAGACCACTTAATTGAACTAAACAGTGGTATTCTGTGAAATCAACCTGGTACATTTTATGTTCTTTATGAGTTCACAGACCTAGGTGATCAGCTTGCTGAGTGGAATCAGTCTTGAACCTTGCTGCTGTACCTACAGGGCAAACCAAAACCTCAGGTGATCTGGACAAAGGATGGCCAGCCCTTGGATCCTAAGAGGGCCAGTGTGCGCAACAGTGACACGGACACCATCTTGTTCATCCGTAAGAGTGAGAGGAAGGACTCTGGCAAGTACGAAGTAACAGTGAAGATTGAAAGCCTGGAGGACAAGGCTACCATTGCCATTCAGATTGTAGGTGAGTGACTCGGATCGGCCTGTTTCAGCAAACATATGATTGTAATGAAACCTAATAGGAATAGGAATAATAAATAAATAATAGGAAATCAAATGGGGGTTCTCTATAGCAGGACCAGTGTCCACAGAGCCAAATCAAGAAAATATGTTAATCGTACACATATTATTTGTTTCCATTATTCCAATGAACCTGGATTTGTTTAGTCTTGGAGTAAATATTTAAGAACATGCCTTACTATGGTCACGGATCCCTAATAGTTTTTTTGCCTGTTTGGAAGACTGGGTTAATATAGGCTTGCTCTCTTATAAGGAAGAATAGAGAATAAAGGCTGAATAAAGAAAGAATAAACTCTGTCCCTTATAGAGTTTGAGACACTTGATTTATCTAGCATACATTCATATGCTTGAATGCTTTTGATGCTGCTACATCTCCACCTCTTCCACATTTTTTGTCTTTTCAGACTAGTATTGCATTCATTACATTGCATTGTGTTTCAGTGACTGCAATTACATTGTAGCCCCCTGCTAATGTAGTAGATTATTTTTATTGTATTGTGTTCCTAATATTCTTGGCATTTACTGTAGGTATAAAACATTCAGTTAACTGGTATATCAAGGTTTTGTCTTTCCCCGAGATTCTTTTTTGGCTCTACTTTCATTCCTTTCATAGACTCTGGACAACCATATGCCAGTTCATTTTCTGACTCTTCAGTGCCACGTATCATCCCAGCTTATCCTGTAGATGTTCAGTGGGAATCAAGTGTAACGACTGAGGCTTACACAGTATTGCTGTTAGAGAATGCCATTGTTACACACATTGTCCTGCTGGCATGTCAAGATGAATCCGCTGAAAGGCCAGCTAGTGAGGTCCCAAAACATGATAAGTATTGCACTATGCAGTCAGTTTTAAATTAAGCATTAAAGGTCTGTAGCAATCAGACACTCCTACCCAGACAATCAACACCTCAACCTTCCCATCCAGTGGTCTCTTCTGCACAATCACATATTCTGTACCACACTCGCTGACATCCATCAAACTGGTGTAGTGTCGCTGGGGGAAAAGCAGGTGTAAAAGGGATATAACTCACACCACACTGATCATCTTTGTTCTTTGTCAGTACGTTTCCCAATTCCGTTCCATAAACCGTTGCCAGTAACCTTAAACGATCCAAAGTTCCAAAACAAAATCTTGATTTATTGCCTAACAGGAGTCCATCTTTGGTGTTCCAACATTCCAATGACACAAAGGCAGTATTCTCTTGATAAGTAGGATATATTTAGTTTCCTCCTGTGTTCTTCTCTCTTGTTTTTCACTAGGCTTAAAATAAAAAAGTACTATATACTCATTACATCTACCCCCCTTTCTACTCAGATTATTTAGTGCTCGTGGTCAATTAATAATCAATCAATCAAAATGTACAAAATTTAATTTAATCAATATCCAAAATATTTTTACGGAAGCACACATCATAAGTTGCTGCTCAGTATATATGCTCACATATATGTCTATATAAACACAAATTTGTGTTAGTGGGTGATGAGATGTTCAAAGTACTTTTCTGTGCCTTTTTTTTCTATTAGTGTTCTTTGCTATACTGGGGAGTAACATCAAGAAAACTAGATCTTAAGTACTGAAATCTTGTCAGTCTCAATTATAAATCCACCTCTTGTTTTATAGTACATGTCATTTTTAAGCAACTTTAAGCTTGAAAAAAGCAACTGACTCTACCTCACACTGTCCATACAACACACTTCTCTTTTAGCAAAAAGAATATGTGTGACATTTGTGCGCTACAGTATGTACACAAAGTACCTACTGTAGAGGTATGTACTGTAGAGGCATATAAATGTCAGATGTCTTTAGTTAACATGTACTAAGATATTTACAGCAGTAAATGTCATATTCTTCTAAACTACTGTTTTTTAACACTTTAAGCAAATATATTGAGACAAAGCTAATCTATCCCATTAAAAAATGAAAGGGAACCATGAGATAAGACTATACATATAGAAAATACTAGTTAAAAATATTTTCTCTTCTCTGTCGTTGAAAATTTTATGGGTTCTTCGGGAGCGAACAAAAGATATAAAAATATCAGGATATCAAAAGCGAACAAAAGTTTGTCATCTTCAGAAAGTATTTGGAGCAGACGTTTTGGTCAGAAACAGAAAGCTATAAAAATCTCTGTGAATACCAACATAGTGGTTGCCTGTCATTCTGCAGAGAAGCCAGGTCCTCCCCAGAGCATTAAGCTGGTGGATGTGTGGGGCTTCAATGCCGCCCTGGAGTGGACCCCACCCAGGGATGATGGAAACACAGAAATCACTGGCTACACAGTCCAGAAAGCTGACAAAAAGACCGGAGTGAGTACTTTTTCTGTCCATACCCATTAAAAGATGATCCAAAGACCTAATTCAAAGCTTGAATTTAACAAGGACCTTTAAACAATAAGTAGCTTAGACTCTCTTTTAACAACAGTTTCATTCATTTCTGGTTTATGAGCTCCATGTCCTTGTATAATCTGATAACAAGTTTAAAGTGAGTAATAAAGGCTATTACCCTTTTTTAAATATACATAGTTTATATATACAAAAGTTCTAATATCACCAGGACTAATTGTTAAAATTGTTAACATTGTTAAAATAATTCAAGTAGATAGCTGTGTCAGCATGTGTAGGCTACAAAGGAACAAGTAAAAGTTTATTCCATGCTGAAAGGAAAAGAAACACAACATTTCGGCTTTGGAGAGAAGGCTCCACAGCCAAAATGTGTGTTTCTCAACAGCTGAAACACAGCAGAAAGTGTTTCTTTTCTTCTCTTTTCAGCATGGAATAATCTTTTATATTGTTAAAATAGGTGGAAACAACAGAATGTATTTCCTTCTATTTAGAAGGAAAAAAGGGTTACTGTAAATTTATTACTGGGCACCTCTGAGACACTTTGAGAGAAGTGCAGTTTTACAATGCACATACAGTGAACAATGTGTAATGTGTAAAATCACTATATTTTTAATGATGTTTAATTTCTATTACATACTATTTTATTAAATGTAAAAAATAGTATTATCTACTATAATATTATCTAAATAGTAATATATATTTTAATATTCTCTTAAAGAATTGTATGTTAATTGCACCATGTTGAGGACTAAGTCATAGGACTCCACGCACTTGTATGTAGACATCACTTTGAGTCCAAAAATAGATATTTCTGCACTACTTCCATTTAGTCTCAATTTACCTTAAATCTTTTCAGAAGATATTTTTAATAGAACAGTTATGAGAAACAACTTTATGAGCCATATGAAAATGCCCAAGAAATATTGATATGTTGTTTATTAACATTAATTAAAATGTAGTACTGAGGAATGCAGAGTCATTTACAGCAGTGAAATATAGATTTTCTCAGGGCTGTGACAGAGACCTGGCATGAAGGGTAGGAAAGCTTGGCAGGATTTACAGTGAATACCTCTCATGGTGGGGAGCAAGCAGCTGGCAAAGGAAATGACATTAAGTGGACACCTTTTTACCTTTTAAGAGAGTGGGTTTTGAAATAAGGTACTGTAAAAACAAATTTGTTGTGAACCAAATCTGACATGAAATGAATCCTCGCCCTCTATATAAAGCAATTACAGCCTTCACTGAGTTCATAGTGGCTGTTGTACTGTATGCTACTGCAGTAAAAACAGTGCTGACTGCTTCAGCTGGTAACAACACACAGAGTGAGAAATTGAGAAAGACACTGGGAACAATTCACTTAACAAAATTTGTACGAGTAGCAGGAAAATTATCAAGAAAATCCAAATGTAAATAACATACTTTATTTTTTTGCTTTGGAATACTTAAATAGGATGATCCTAAATTCTTTCTTGATGTCTAAGAAAACAAATATTGCATAGAAAATTGCACAAGAAATTTGCATATATTGTCTTTTTATATATAATAGTGGCCCCTATATATGAATTTACAAATCTTCATTGCTACATTCAGTAAAGTGTGTAGTTTATTAATGTACAGTAATGTTTGTAGTTCATTACTTAATATACAATCTGATTGTGTATGTCAGATTACACAATCTGATTGATAAATGCATTTGTTCAAGACAGTTCTTCAAGGAATTCCAGAAATTAATATTTGTATTTATAGTCTGTATATCTTTGACATCTATATTTAGAATTACCAGGCTCAGGAGCTCATAATGTTTTTTTTCTGGTTTCAGGACTGGTTTACTGTCCTGGAGCACTATCACAGGCTAAACTGTACAGTTTCAGACCTCATCATGGGCAATTCCTACTACTTCAGAGTCTTCTCCGAAAACCAGTGTGGCCTGAGTGAGGACGCAGCTGTAACAAAGACTCTGGCTTATGTTCAGAAAACAGGTGAGACAGGGCCTAGTACTAGTCTATCTATAGAACTGGTTTTTAGAGCTCTCAACATGGCAGCCTAGAAACTACTACAGTGTTGAGGTATGGTACGAGACATTCATGGAATTCCACAAGACGTTACCAGCAAATGGAGCCCCAGATCCCCCATTAGTGATTTTTTTTAGATTTAGTTTTTTACAGATGGGCTGTCATCTATGCATTTAAAACTGATAAGGAATATTTGGGAAAAAAAGTATTGCTACCATAGATGATCTTGATTATAACATTGTTAGCTAACATTGCATTTACAGAAGAAACAAGCAATTTTAAAAACTTTCCAGGACTATGCACAAATGTCAATTAAAATAAATTTATGCTAGTGCAATGTATAACATGTAGAATGTAAGAATATGCATTATAAACATAAAATATATAGCAGTTAGCTTAGAGAAGGTGCTTTTTTTAAAAGGTGTTTATGTGGACTTCTCATTGTCCTCATTCTGATGTAAAGACCGTGTTATGGATTGTGAAAAGTGTTTAATTTAATTCTGCACTTGAATCCATGCCATTTGGATTTGGTCAACATATTACATAAAGGATACTATAGCTTCAACAATTCTTCATAGAAAAGCAACAGAAGTTATTTCTAGTCTCAGGGGATTGTCTAATAAAGACAAAGGAGATAAACTGTCATATACAGGCAAGGGAGCTAGGAGCATAATGGAATATGTTTGCCTCTCAGTGAAAACAGTAAGTGTGAAACTAATTATGAGAAAATTAATCTTCACTTTTAAAACTCTACACATTATGTTGATATTTGGCTATGAACTGTCTTTTATGAAGATGGCAAGAAACATGAAAATAAGTTAAATTATATGATAAGAAATGGCCATTGTACCCATCAGTGCTTTTCCACTCACAGCTCCAAGCTCACATCTAAAAGACATACTACAGACTGTTTTATACAGGACCTTTTCAATAGCTTCTTAGTTTCCTTTTAAATGAAAAAATGCAGCTAAATTTAACACACTGCTTGATATACCTCTACGTACACCATTCCTGTCTTCAGTCACAATGCTGCCTGTTGTATATTTTCTGCAGGCATTCTTTACAAACCATCAGAGCACAAGGAACATGACTTCAATGAACCTCCTAAGTTCACACAGCCACTGAATAACAGGTGTGCAACAATTGGCTACACCACCAAGCTGCTGTGTGCTGTGAGGGGAAATCCAAAGGTAAGGCTTTACACACTTAATTTTTCCTTTTTTAAAGAGGCACATTAGCCTTGGAATGCAACCAACAATTTGTGAAGTGTGGCTACAGAACAATATGACTATAAAACTCAAATATGACTCAAATATGAAATAGAAAAATAAATACAATAAGATTGAAGCTTTTGAAGAAATAAATGCATTTCAAGAACTCAAAGTACTATACTGTCAACAACAACACTGAAGTCATCAACTGTGAAGTGAAGGTTGCTCAGTCTTGGTTTATCTTAAAATTGAATTTGAATTTGGTCCACATCTCAGCACCTAAAAGGCAACCATAAAGTGCAGAACTCAATTGCAATTGAGTGTCATCTGCAGAGCAGTGAAACCAAAGCAAAATCTAGTCAATATTAATGAAATTGATAAATCAATTCTTTGAGCTAAGGTCTGCTGGTCACAAATAAATGTTTCTAGGATTTCAGTAGTTTATCTGTAAAGAGCTAGACTTATTGAGCACTTCCCATATAGTCAGGGAAGGTAAAATGTAAGAAGAGATCAGAGTGTGCTGCTTAAAATGGTAGAAAGTAAAACTGATGGGAGCTGACACATTATTAAAGCAAAACTAAACCATTCTATACAAGTATTTATGTACAAAGCCAAATTCATAAAATATATGTTTGTGACATCCACTGGACATAAAGTGTAAACAGAAGTTGCCAGGTTTTTTATTCATTCTATCATGCAGGTGAACACTCATATTTTATGACATAGTGTATATGTGGGAAGTTAGTTGCAGTTGTGGTGTGAGTTGAGAATCCCTCAGCTGTGTCCACTCTAATAATTCTTTCAGCCCTCTGCCAGGTCATGATGCTGCAAGACACTTTAGGACCTACATTTATCTGTAATCTGTAACCTCCAAGCTGTAGGAGCAACCAAAGCTTGTCCAGCAAGACATTTAACACAGCATTTCTATCTCATCCTCTGAGAACTATCATCCTTAAATAGCAGCATTGTGAATTACAGTACTTGAAATTCTTTTTGTGGGATTGTTGTTCTTTGCTTTTTGTAATTAAACAACTTTCAAAGATGTATAGCCATGCCTTTAAGAATAAAGACACCCAACCAATTGCAAAAGTTTTTTAAAAAAATAATTTCTTCTTTTTTATTTGGTTATATTGATCTACTACATTAACATCAGTCTATTCCAAGAAAAGTATGGTAAGTAAGAATAACCATGTTATTCAATTTTCAAGCTGGAACATCTTCTAAAGCAACTGTGCGTTATTACATTTCATATTCCAGGGAACATAGGAGTCAGGTTTCCAGGCGCCTGAAGAGATACATTTGTTGCAGGCCGAATAAGTGTGATGACTTTACAGATAAAAAAAATAGCACTGCACAGATGAGCCATTTTCCATCCCTCGGTTCAGTAGAGCTTTATTAGGACCAATAGCTTTGCACATGTCGAATTACTCATACAGTTGTACTAGTTGCATAAGTAAACAAAGGTAACTGCCTCCAAAGACAAGCCAAGACAAGAAAGTTAGTTTGCCAGTTATAAATGTATCTATATCTGAAAAAAGCAGCAGTTTGGATTTATTTAATTCCATTACTAATAACAGGAGACAATATTGTATATAATGAGACAATATTGTTTCTTTGTAAAAAAGAGATCCCAATGTATTTGCATTGAAACTAAAGTGGATCTACAAGTGCAAACAAATGCTTAAGTGAGTTTTTTTCCCTTTTTTATTTTTGTATCATTGGAAGTCAGGAAAAGAAGGCCAGAGGATTGGCATGCAGTCGGGAAGTTAGTACAGTTAGTACCAGAAATGTGAACTCTATGGATAAATGATTGTGCATTAACTTCCTAAAATATGAGATAAAATATAAACTGGCATTGCGAAGTGCAGTCCTTCATCTTCACCATGGAACCTAGGAAATGAGTAATTTCGGGTCAACATGGACAGCATGAAATGCAGAAGGATTCCTTCAGTAATGCACAGGCATCTGCCATTCCCAAGTTTTTCAAGTACTTTGGTTACCAAAAGCTGGACATGTAGACTACTTGAGATGTTAACTAATTCCTGTTTCCTACAAATGCCGTGTGGGTCACCTGGCTAAACATCTGACCTACCTGATTGTAGTTACTCTCCCAGTTAAATTGGCAGGAGTAAAGAGAAGTTTTTCAGAGCTCAAGCTGATTAAAACATACCTAAGGTCAACCATGGCACAAGACTGCCTCAGAGGACTGGCCATCCTGACCATCAGTCATGCATTGGGTCGACTACTATCGAATGAAGATGTAATTGATGATTTTCCTTCTCAAAAGTCTATGTGAATTGTTTTATAGAATATTTTTATAAACTTTATAAAAGTTTTCCATCGGCTCAGCCTTACTGATCTCACCTCCCTTGTTATTGGTTGCATGTATGATTTAATTACGTTAATATTTGATCAATTCCTTTCTACAAAGGTTTCAGTGCAATCATTTATAGGTTATAATTTGCTCTGATTTTGAAGTAACAGAGATCTTGTTAATTTATTGTTTTAAATGTTCTTATTTATTAATTGTTATTGCATGTTACCTTACATGTAAAAAAATGTGCTTCTTGTTCTTGTTTGTGCAAATTGTGGACTGGAGGGGCCCCTTTTCAAGATCTTGCCTAGAGACCCCAAAAAGCTAGGAGTGGCCCTAAGTATAGTAATGCCTGGACACTGCAGGTCATGATCTGGATTGAATGTGGCTGTTACTGTAGGGTGTTCAAGAGCTTGGGTTAAGGCAGAAGTTCATTTCAGAGGCTGTAAATGACTGAGAAGCCCTTTGTAGGAACCATTCCTCTCACCCTTTTTAGTGAGGGGGCTAAAAACAAGTCAACAGTGGAAAGCTGTCTCCAGTGGAATCACATCTAGAATGACGAAAGTAGTGTACCGGGGATTCTTTTTGTGAAGATAAACAACATATGGGAAATTAGGAGTTTAAAGAAGAAACCTATTTAGATATAATTGTATACACATTATTAAAAATGAAATGTATTGATTGGTATATCACACAACTGACTCTACATCATTCTTCCATAGTGTTTTTATTAAAAGAGTATTCCATGTATAATATCAGGAGAACCACTCTAACATAAATGGAATGCTTTGTTTATTATTCAAAACATTTATTAATACCATTTATTGTTTATAATTTAAAACATAAGAAAAATTACAAACTATTATAGGCTACTTGGTCCTTCTAGTCCATTAGTTAGTAAATATTTCATCCAGAGATCTCATCTAGCTGTTTCTTGAAAGAAGCAAGGGTACTGGCTTTAACAAGGCTGGGTAGATTGTTCCCTTTTAATATGGTTTCAACCCTAAACTCCAGACAGTTCTATGTTTCTTGGAACGCATGTTGACACTTCTCTTGAGCTTCCCTTGTTAACTTATCGCAAAATTATAAACTAAAAATGTAAGTGTGAGGAATGTAAAGGATAAAAGCTTGAAATCAATGCATCTATCCCCGTTCTCTGATTCTTGTGTTATATTCCTGCTAATTGTCTACTGTATCCTTACTGTTGTCTTGTCTTTTTTACCATCATTAGCCCAAGATTGAGTGGATGAAAAACCAGATGGTGATTGGCGATGATCCCAAATACAGGCAGTTAACCACCCAGGGCCTGTGCACCTTGGAGATCCGAAAGCCCTCCACCTTTGATGGGGGTGTCTACACTTGCAAAGCTACCAATGCACTGGGGGAGGCTACTGTTGACTGCAAGCTTGATGTCAAAGGTAAAGTCAAATGAAAAGTATTTTACAAATTAGTGGTTGTTGCCTGTGTTTCACAACAACTGTGACAATTAAAACAATTCACAATGGCTGAACTTCACAGTTTGTAGTAATTACATTTTAAATCTCATGGTGTTATGTCATATCATGGACATGAAATTAAAAATGGCAAAATATATTGGCCATCGTTGAACAGTGTCGCATTGTGTTGTGGTGACACACAACATTTGGAAGCAGTGTTTGAAAACACTGTTTACTAATAAATTAAAATCTTTGCTTTCTGAAATCAGTGAGCATTAAATGTAAAGTAGTGAGCAATCTGCCATAATGACATTCATCATTCCCTAGCTGTGCGTCGCAAATACCAGTCCATACTTAGACACAGCTCTCTCCGTATCTTCTAGTTAGCTAGACAGTTCCAAGCTAGTGTTGTGAGGTTTGGATTCTGCGCACTTCTGACTTCCAAAACTATAGTATGTTTGACTGGCAAATCTATTTTTAGTAGTGTTTTACTAAAAACATAATCATAATCATAATCATAATACAATACAATTTCTTTGAAAGAGTCTGACACCAGCAACGTGTAACAGGGTTTCTGAATTGATACAGTGTCCTCTAAATAAATAGGTTTAATTAGTAATTTTATATTTGGTTTGGACACTTTAGAATTATTTTCACTCAAAATTACATACAAATTTAAATCCCTACATTATAGCCTCTACACTAGTCTTTGGTCAATCAAAAAACCCTCTTATGATGCTCAACAATGAGCTTTTGTAAAGTAAATAAACTTAAAAATGGACTGGATTTCAACTCACCAGCAAAAACTAACTTCTTGGAGATGGTATTATTGTGTATTATTGTGCATGTTTGACCTTTTCTTAATGCTTATCGTGTCTAAGTTATAATTTTTATTGTGTTGAAGCCTAATAATCTGTGAATTTAATCCACTTTCCTCTACTAGCAGTCCAGCCACCTGCAAGCAAATAGACTCCCATCGGAACATACAGTATAAAGGTCAGTGAAAGAAACAGAGTGTGTCTCAAATGGTAAAGCAGATTGTCATGCTTGGAACGTGTTGTGCTATCCCACATACCTTTTACCCTCATCACTAATTCAGATGAACACAATCCCATGAGAGTATGGGTCTGGACTGGCTTTCACATTTTTCTACAACTTTTTTACCTCAAAAAGAATACAAACCATGTCCAATTCAAGCTGGTAAATTATAAACATAAGGTACCTTCTTGTTTGTTTGGTAAAGCCAAAAACTGTGCAGAACCTCATTGGACCAGCCTTCACATAAAATAATTTTGTACAGTAGGTTTTCTCTTTCTGCTTCATAGCAAAAAGAGCTAACTTTGGATTAATTAATATGCTTAGAAATTGTGGAATTGAATAGTGAGTCTAATGTATCTGCTAGTGTACGCAGGGTTACATTCGCCTAATAAGAATAATTAAAAATTAAAAATTGATCAGAATAGATTTTGGGTTTTTACATGGTCCTTTAGTTCCAGGACCATCTCAGTGTTTTTAAAGTTGTCACTAAATCATCCATCATTCATACTGTACTTCATATGCTTCACGTGTTGAGAAGTATAAGTCTAGGGGCATTTTCTCTCCATTTGCTTGATCAGAAAATGTCAGGGAACTAAGTACAAAGATAGGAAGACACGTCATGATGCATGCTTAGGGTTTAATGGTGTGAATGTGTGAAGCTATATTTGAATTCAGACCTTCACAAATGAAAGAAATGTTTCAACTGCTTAACCTTTAACTTCCCTCCCCTTTAAGAGATAAGCAAATCAGTTTGATTAATATTGCTTTGCTTTACATGCCACAACAACTTTAAAATTTCCATCACTGCTACATTGGAAAGCAACAAGTGAGAGTAACAAATTTAAATAGAAATATTTGAACTTCATAAAAGATGCTTACCAAAAATGAGTCAAATTAATTTGGCTACATGTATTTTTAAAGACTAAGTTTAATACAAATGTATTACATTTTTTCAGAGTTCAACACTTATAAAATGCTTTTTCTCATCGTCTGTACTGTTTTTTCTTCATTTTTAACCTTTAAATAGCACTGTTTAGACTGTAGTATATAATTTATTTAATTTCTACAAGTCTCTGTGCGTAAAGAGAAGCAAGAATGCCCCCTGACTGGAAATTGTACATGATCATACACTAAATTGGAGAAAATGTGGCCTCTCCCATTGACAGGCCTGTGGCTTGAGTTATACTTGTAACTCTGCTCTGTATGATCTGTTGGGCAACTTCATCACATTTCCCTGACTCAGCAGCACTGGTCCTGTTATTTCTACAGCAGCAAGTCAGCAGTTTATTTCTGGGCTCCAAGTGTGGATGTAATAAAACTTTCCATTCACAGATGATTTAGTGATTAAGGATCTATGTCAAATCTAATGTTTGACCAGAAAAGAACAGGTAAATCAAAGTAAGACCAGGAACTGAAATCTTTTTTGTAAACTATAATTTTTCAATTCTTGATATGATGCTTTTGTTCAAAGCAAGTTACATTTTATACAGCAATAGTGCTCTACTCAGTGAAATCATCATTTCCAGTTACAAGGCCAAAGCTCTAACTACTATTCATAGTGCATAGTGCAGTTAGATATACAGTATTAGATGTTTTGGTTTGTTTTTGGTTTAATATCTCTTTTTGTTAGCTGTCTTTTTGTTAGCTGAAATTCATTTTGTTAGTGAAATTAGCTGACTGCATTTTATGTGGCTTACAAATACACAGACAGAAGTGAACAAGTTTGAATGTAGTATACTGGTGACTTGAAGGCCACCTGAATTATTTAATTTGTCAGTGTTGTTTTGAGTTCCAAATTAAGAGCAGTAGGAACATAAACCTGGAAAATACAGGATTTGAGGTACTATTATTATTTCCAGGCCAGTAGACAGGTAATGGATCAACAAAGTACTATATGAGCAGTCAGACAAGGAAATAGGACCCAAATTACCATATTCCATTTTTATATTCTGTATTTAAATACTAAAGGTAAAATAACATAATTTTTACATCAGTTAAAATTTCAGATTAGAATCTAAGGAAACAGGAAAAGCCCCTGAAGGATATTCAAGAGTTCAAAAGAAAAACCTGCAAGATTGAAATTGAATGTTTTTGCCTATATTGCCATTAGGCTACTGTATATGTTAACTGATATATTAGAGGTCTTCATTTTAACCAGCACCTACAGTCATCTCTAAAGTAAACTTTAGTGTAGATTTATTTCAGACTCATTTCAAACTTAAGTTCTGTCCTTAGTTTTTCGCTGTGTAAATAATACAAAAGAAAACTTACCGTAAATCTGTTATACATATTCCTGTAAGCACTGTGCATGAAAGATTGATTTGACAAGGTTGTACCCATGACAATGTTAAGTTGTCCTGTATCATCATAAAGCTAAAACAAAAGATATGTGTGTATACAGTATATCATGAAAGAAAAATATATTTTTAAGTTTGGTACATACTGTATAGGGAAGTTAGTCACAACTGATCTTGCCCTTTTTATCTTTTAGAAAGACTATGAAGGTGTTTGAAAGCGGTTGCAGAAAGAAATAACAGAAGGACTGGATGGTCTACATTTATATCACATCTGTTTTGCATATTGATTAATAATCTCTGAAGTTCTGTTTTCTGAAGACTTGTCACTTCACTTAATAAACCACTTTACGATGGAATTTATTTTGAAAAGACACTTGTGAAGTAAAAAAAAGAAATGGAAGTGAATTAAAATATAATTCCTGGCTGTGTCCTACATTCTCTGACTGAATCTGTAAGCAATAAATGAATTTCAAAAGGAAATTATATTGCAGTGATTATAGTGAGAAAGTGTTGATCTTTTATGATTTATTAAAAATAATTTTTCTTTGCAGACTGGTTTAGGTGTTTATATATTTTTTGTTTTCTAAAACAGCATATTCTCCAAGTATTTACATGATTTACAACACACTTGGACTAATTTCTATACATCTTGCTTCTTGTTTTGTCAAACAATATGATGCATATTTGGAAATAAATTCCACCTACATTATGTACAGGAAAACGTTACCTTGTGTTACTTTACCTTGTGCCTTATGCTCTCATCCCTAAAATAGCCACAATACATAAGCGACATTAGTCCAACACGGATACTGTTTTCTTTTAAAACTAAAACCTCCAACATAAAACGAAAAACAATAGACACGTTTTTTTAATAGATACTGTATCAAGATGTAAACATCTTAAGCATATTTTAACAGCATAGGCTAATGTGCGATACAAATCAAAACAACTTTAAAAGTGACAAGCTTGTGATTTCACTTGGTGTAAATCTGAAGCACATCAGCATTGAAGTGCATTGATCGTGATACAAAGTTATTGTTACACAGACACTTAAATCAGTAAACTTCAAGATCTACAGGTATCCACTCTCTAGGTTGTATTAATATTTTTCAATCTAAAAATTCACTACAGACTTAAGATGATGCACATATAATAGATAACGCACTGCTAATGTTATGGACTTTAATGGAATTAGAAAATGGACAGGAGGGAAGAACAAAACTTTTTGTTCTCCTTCTTTGGCCTACAACCATCTGAACAGTAATATGTTTTAACAGATAAACCAATCCAATATGTTCAATTCATATTTAATTCACCTTGAAGTGTTGTCATATATTTTTGTGCAGCATGATGGCATGAAAGCTATTGCCTCTGCCTCACCGTGTTTAAATCCTGGGTTTGATTCTGGACTAGGGCACCTTCCATGTGGAGTTTGCATGTTCTACCTGTGGCCTTGAGGATTTTATTTAGTTTCCTCGCAGATCTAGATCTTAATGGGGAGATCTGCAAATCAAGAACTTGACTCAGATGTGCCCTAAATTCTTAATCTTACCCCCAGCAAATTTCAATTTGTGCATCAATGCAAAACAGCCAAGGAAATTTGTGCATGCTGCTGATACTGCCCTAGCTGCTGACACAGTGAAGGAAAGTTGTAATTATTTAAATACTAATCCATTGCAGTGATTAAGTAACAATTTAAAAAAGATGTTAGAAAGGGCATTAGTTACAGTGGTCAACACTGCCCTCCAAATATAATAATACAGCAAATTAACCACAAAGGATTTTTTTGATTTTACAAAAATGCAATTTAAAATTATGATAATAAAATTAGTATGTACCCTACAATATAAAAGTACAATTTGTTTTATTTTTGAGTAATGATATCCCTATAATCACATGACAAAAAATTATATATTTAAAGTGACCAATATTATATGGGGACATTCATTTTAAGTAACATTCAAAGTGTTAAACTGTTTTTGATTTCATATCTCTATTAGATGCACTGTTAAATTAGAAAATGTATTCACTTAATGAACATTGCCTTCAGAAAGTATTCATCCCCTCAAATGACTGCAAATATTGTTACACTCAGAATACATCCAGAGTGTATAATGCATTAAAATTATTTTCCCTTCATTTATACAACAGTATCCACAGAGAACAAACACTGTATTGTATCACAAAACATACAAAAATGGAAAAATCTTGTTTACTGAAGTATTTATCCCACTGAGTCACTTTGTAGAATCACCTTTATAGCAATTACAGCTTTTAGTCTTCTTGGGTACATCTGTAACAGTGCTGCACAGTAGGAATTTTGCCCATTCTTTTCTGCAGATTTGCTCAAACTCTCTTTTAACTTCATTTTTTACCTTTTGTAATGTGAAGTAACTAAGTTTGGTAGTTTAGAAAAGACACCGCACATTCCCAGTCTACCCTTATGCTCCTTGTAATCTATACTCTGCAATGTTGCAATGTATCCAAACATTGTATTTGTGCTTTATATTGCTTCTGTGCATTATTTACTGTAGATGCTGAGAGTGACGAATCTACTGTTATTCCAAAAGCCTTTTCCTCATTCTTCAGGATGAGAGAATAATACTTTGAAACAATAAGCACTAAAGAATAAGGGAATTCACCAATTTAAATTGATCCGTGTGAATAATAGCGTTCTTAAGCAATTTCAAGACTGTCCAGAGACAAATGCGAATACGGAAAAAAAACCATACAACACTAAGAAGATAAATCTCACATTTCAGCAATAAGTGAATACAAATCAGTCCTGCTAGATATTTAAATCCAGTTGGCACCATTCTAGCTGTTCAACCCTTCAAGACAGTGGTATAGTGGTCATTCTTTTCATTGAAATAAAATGGGCAGCACACACTAGACCATTTCTGGTACAGTAAGTCCAAATGAAAAGTTTTAAAGATAAAAGGCCTGTCCTGTAAACTATACGAGGATCTACCCCAGAGAAGGAACTATTCACCACCGCCTTTGGAAATAACACGTCAGGACTGCTTTCAGGAGTCAGGGCTATCAGACACCCTTCTGGGCACATGTGGATGGAACAATGGGCGGCCCTGTAAGCACTCCTGCAGTCCTCCCATTGCCAGCCTCATCTGGTCCTCTGCTCCTTGCAGGGCTTTCACCTCTGTGGTGTAGAAGATGTACATCAACAGGGAGATCAGCAGCGTGGTAAAACACAGCGCCCCCAGGAGGTAGAAGGAGGCCCTGGGGAACGGGTGCTCCATACTGAGGGTCAGCCAAGGCACCAGTGCGATGGCTAGCTCCAGCAGCAACAGCACTAGCCCCATAAACCCCACACGAGCAGTCGAGTACCGCATCCTCTCAGCGCAGTGCAGTCCCACCTTCACCTCCGTCCGCGCCTCCGTCATCATGTCCACCAGTGCACCCATCACGTCTGTTACTGGAGGAGGCGGGGGGGAGAGACATGTCAGCTGTGATTATAAACGCCAAATTAAAGCCTGCCAAAAATTCCAGGTGTTGTACAGAAGGAACTGGTAACCTTCTTGTACAAAATAAAAAAATAAAATCTGGTCAGATGGTTTAGATGGACAAGACTGTGAATACATTATGGAAGTGAAGTGGTTACGGATCGAATCTCAGCTTCACACAATTTTTCAGACAGAAAAGTCAAAGAGTTCCATATGATTCACGCATGACCATCTAAATTTTTCCTGAAACTCAGCACATACATTTCTGTAAAGGGATAACTATATTAATAGCTTAAACAGATATAGAAAGTTAACACATCCTTTCCAAAGTAACACATTTGGTGTCCCAGAATCAAGACACATTAAATAAGATTTTTATTACCTTTGCTTACAAATTGTAACACAACCTCCAAGTGAAAAACAAATGCTCAGAAATTAAAATGTATGACATTTGGTTTTAACTAACTGATTGGGATTGAGAACTACATTCTAGATGTTTCATTTTGCTCAATGAGGACCCCACTCATATAACCGTTCATAACTCAAACAACTGGATGCCTCAGTGATTTTCTATTCACAGTTTACAGTAAATCATTCCAAAAACTGGTCTTTAAAAGATTCATTTTATTTATTTTTTAAATACAAGGACAAAACATTCAGATTCCAAATTATCGACTAGGGCTTGCAAAGTGTTTTAAAAGTCACCAGAGCATATGTAAATCAGATGTTACCAATGTCCTCAAGTAAGTCTTGGTAGGAACAAAAATAACTTAAAATGACCATATTGCAAAAACTATATTAGTTTTTAATACTTAGAAATATTGCAGTTTAATTCTGCCTCAAGTCTTTCCTCTACAGTGCAAAGCCATGTGCCAAATGTTAAACAGACCACTCTGTATCAGATTATTTTGGAAAAATTAAATTAAAATGCAAATTAAAATGACATTTTTTTATGTTTTTCTGCAAATTGAATACAAATATATAAAAACAGACAAAATGTCAGTTCTTGATTTTTTAAAGATTTGAATCAGGTGTCCTAAGTCTTCTCTGTTCCAAAAATTTCAGTTATTTTGGCCTGTTAGTGTAAGATATTCTTGTAAGCCCAAAGATTTATCTGGCAGCATGCAAATTCCAGAGCAGCATATATATTTTTAAAATGTGGTGATCTAAATTGTTATTCTAAAAAAGATACTATCAACAAATTGCACAATTCTAACAGTGTTCCTTGATTTACAGTCTACACTTAACTGTATTTCTTCACATTGTTTTTTACAATACTTCCATACACTGGATAGAGGAAGAACAAATAATCACTTCATTCTTTTATTTTTAATCATTTTCATTAGTAGATTCTTCAAGCTCAAGTGTTCCATTTTATAGTTTTAGCTCATCTTGGTAGCTGCATATAACACTGTGCATATATGCTGTCATGGCCCTGGAGAGCCCTTATGTCTAAAGTTTTACATTCTCACACAGCTCCTAATGATCTTAATCAGTTCATTATTGCTTTAATGGGAGAAATTTAACAACTTTTTCAATCTCATCAGGTGCTGGTGCAATGAAGACACCTAGAACACAGACACACCAAGCTTCCAGCCCTCCAGGATGAAAATTGCACATCCTGATCGAACACTGATATAAATTAGAAAGAAGAGTGATCCTAGTATGAATACATACAATACTTCACTAATTACATTTCCTCCTTTGTCTGTGATAGATATTCTATCCATATTGAAAACCTTTCAATACCTTGAATGCCTACAGCCTGCAATTTACGAATTGATCTTTGTTATTGAACTTCATCAAAAGCCTTATGAAAATTTAAACACATTATATGCTCTGATCTAAAAAACACAACATACTCAATATAATTCTCATTCTTTCATGTCACTTAGCTGACACAGGAATTTGCTGTGGTCATGCAGTATTATCCCCTTCGCAGGGTGCAGGTAAGGTCCCCAAGAACACTATTTTTTTTCCTGCTCTTTAGAGTGATAAGTATAAAATATATTAATATATATATTCTTATATATAATTACAAATACCTTAAAAATTATGGTGGCAGATGTTACAGTATATCTGTTTTTTTACCTGATGTTATACTGGTTGGGATGAAAGTGAACTCACTCATTACCCACTTACCAGTAGACCTTCAGCTCCTAGACTGCCCTACCACCATCTTTTTAAATTTCCATCTTGCTGTGCAAGGTTATTTCTCAAGTTCATCTTTTTTATATCTTTCGGACAGGTATTTCTAATTGAACATGGGTAAAGTCTTTAATAAATAGCTCTTTATATATAGTAACTATGTAAATATATAAAGTATGTTTTACATATATTATAATCATATTTTAGCATAGTCATTCTAAAATTTAAGTCTTATGCCATGTCTCAATATGCACACTTGTATTCTTGTGCACTTGGTATGCTCGTTCTCATCCAAATATGCAAGGGCTGAGGCTATCCCATTTCTAAATTTGTGGTCACAAGGGTGCTCACGAGCACCCCCAATGCACCGTTCTCTGAAGTCTGGATCTGAGCAGACTTTGCTCAAGGAATTTACCCCCACTTCTTTGCAGAATTGTGAAATTTCACTTTCTAACTTATCAAAGCAGAGATTAGTTGCTGTGGATAATAATATATTCATGTATTAATCAAATTTAACACACCTGAAGAAGGCTCCACGGCCGAAACGTTGTGTTCTCTTTCTTCTTTTTTTTTCCAGCATGGAATAAATCTATTACAAATTTAACTAATACTTTTTCCAATATTAAAACTCATTTTATGTAAATACAATATTATGAGGCTGCAGTACTTTAGATTCATACTGTATGTCTTTTGTCACCCCATTTCCCCCAAAAGTGGTTATGTAATCATCAAGAACAATAGTAAAAATAAGCTAAATAAGAAAAGGAATTTATTTGGTTGAAATCACCAATTCTGAGCAAATACCTGTTTTAGGGGGAGTATTAAATATATTAAAATTAACTATGCCGATTCCTGAGTTTCTTTCACTTCCTCCCTAAATGAATGATCTACCAACTCTCAGCACTAGTTCCACAAAAAATGAACAGCTCAGTTATCGTTTAAACATCAGGTCATGTAGAGGGTTCAAAAAGTTTCCACTTCCAGGCAAGAGGAGGAGAGACACAGTATCAATACTCAGGTGTCTCTCTACTGCCGGTTTCCCTTCTCCTGCACACCTTAAGAAGGGTCCACAGCCATAACACTGTGTTTCTATTCTTTTCAGCATGGAATAAACCCTACAATGTATTACTGGATTTTTACTTAAAACAAGGAAAAGGAAATATAACCATAGCATAACTGTTCCATCAAAAATCAGCAGTTGCATTAGCTTTTAAAGTAATGTTTTTTCACCTAGTTAATAATGTTCTTTCAACTAGTACACTGCCTCGCAATGAATGCCACGAGAAGGGACCCAGGGAGCCTTCTCCAAACGTTACCTTCTGAGCACCTGTCAGGCTCCCCAGGAGCCTCCTCCGTTTTCTGCAGGAGCAGCACACCACTCAGGGCCTCATGGTCAGAGTATGGGAATGACTTTCCTGGGACAGAGCCCTTTGTGGTGGTGAGGGATTCGCACTTCACATGCACCCTCGGTGAGCCCTGAGAGACAGAACAGTATACAGGTCAACTCTGTGTTGCACCAGAACCATCACATCGGCATGAATATAAAGCATTTTTTAAGAAAATAAGATTGAAAAAAAGACTCATCCCATATTGGTGGATTATGTCAAGTCAAGGCTGTTAACCTTACTTGAATAAAAATGAATAAACCTACCTGAAATAATTATTTTAAAAAGTGAAGTAAGTTCAAAAGTAAGATCATGGGTATCATTGAAACTGAAGAAACAACTGTTGTGTAGGTGAAACATTGGCATTGCTTCCAGTGACTTCAAGATAATGGTATGTGCAAAAACAAATGCTTGTTGAGCACTGACTTTCATAGCATATGCTTTCATGAACAAACTCATTTGTGATTGACTTTGTCTTGTATGAATGATTTCCAATTACCTGACTAATAATTTTGTTTAGTGTATGAAGTACTGCAGCTATGAAGTAAAATATACCAACTGATTTTCCTCATGAGGTTTCTTTATGCAAAAAAACAATGATATTGTGAATCAAACAGCCAATGCTGATAGATGCCAGCTCTGATTTGTCTGTAAGAGTGAACAAAAAAGTGAGAAATATGTAACATTTAAGTCTACTGGAAATTGTGACGTGTTGACTGTATTGGCAGATGGAACTATGTTTCTATTAATTTACAACAAATTCAGAATGCAGCAGCTAGAACTGTTACTAGGAGCAGAAAGAACGACCATATAACCTCCATACTTATCTCTCTTCATTGGCTTCATGTCAGGTACAGGGCGGACTTCAAAATCCTTCTACTTACTTACAAGACCCTCAGAGGTCAGGCACCTGTCTAATGGAACTTATTAATGTTTACCAGTTGCCTGCTTAGATCACAGAATGCAGGTCTTCTTCATATTCCACATATTAATAAAATAACAGTTGGCAGTAAAGCCTTTAGTTACAGGGCCCCTATCTTATGGAACAGTCTCCCACCCCATATTCAGGATGCTGAGTCAGTCTCAGTATTCAAATCCAGACTGAAGACCTATTACTTCAGCCTAGCCTACTTACACCTTACATTATAGCCTGCTGCAACCATGGCTGCTGGTTCTGCTGCACATGCCATTGTGTGTCTCTATGTTGGCCCACCAGGTAGATAAATCTGTTTTGACCAAACTATCCTATTCTCCTCCCCAAATATCTGGATGGCGCCCAGGCTGGCCACCGTCTGAGTTGGATGCTGCATCATTTCCACGGATCCAAGAGGAACATCGTGGATATAGCTGTAATTTAGGAGGATTTTGCTGGTCTACAGAGATTTGCATGGAGAACTAACACATAGAAGACATGATGGAAGGATGGATTAATAACTTCATTCATTTATTTCCTTTTTAATTACATAATGTAAGCATGCCCACAGGGGTTGGGCAACCAGTTGACCTTGGACCCCTAGAGGGTTTTTGGTTCCTCTCCTGTGTTGTCTTCTGGTCTTCTGTTCCGTATTGACAAAATGTATGGTCACTTGCATTGTTAAGTGCCTTGGGGCAACCTTGTTGTGAAAGGCACTATTTAAAAATAAACTGAATTGAATTTAAAGCACAGGACAGTACCCCAAAAAAACATTGTGATTGTGCAAACTCAACTAGTGGGATGGATTGAGTTGGAACCTCTTTCATATTGGTTGAAAACTGTATGAGAAAGTAGGCAAAGAGTTCTTTCAAAAAAGGAGCAGGTGACCAGAAAATGTATTTTAAAAGACATTTTATTAATTTGTTTTATTAAATTGTTTGGGACTTACATTTTTACCCTTTACCCACTAAAAAACTTATGCTCTAAATAGCAAAATTGAGAAACCCCCCAATGATTTTACAGGATGGGCTCTTCTGATGATATCACTATCAGCTGCTTCGGGAACATCCTAGGTGTATGTGTAATTTTGCTTGAGAATCCCAGAGATCTCGTAGACTTGTGATAACTGCAATAATTACTTCATGCTATATTGAGCTGTGAAATTTCATAGTTATCTGCTGTCCTAGACAAACATCTTAATGTAAGGATTTGCATGCAGAATATTTGTCGCTCACCTTGAACAGAATGTAGTCAATTCTAATCCCTTTTTCAAAAGGGACCATTTCTTTCTTATTGACGAAAGGGTTCTGTGGAATGAGTGTCATGCCTTCTTCACAGCCCTATTGAAAAAAATATCATAGCTTTTACCATCAGATCAATGAGGAAAGCATTCAAAAAGGTTTTCTTTATCAGAGGCTCTGACTACTTCCAGCACCCTGCTGAAACACTTATTTATCCTACAACCTATCCCTGCTTAGGGTCTTTAATCCATAATTCTAATAGATTTTCTCAACTGTACTGCATTATTATCCTTTGCCTCATTTGCTACAATCCCTGTATTGCATTGCTTTCCTTACTTTGAAACAACACTTTTCTGTGTATGTAAGTGAATTGTTGTATAGTAAAATGCCTTAACCACTATATCACTTTACACTACTTATATTCTTATAATTCAGTAACTGATTGTAAGCTACATCAGATAAAGACCACGGACTTGAAAGAGGCAGAATTATTTTAAGTCATTGAATTAAACTACTTGTTCCTCAGCAGCTTGCATGCTGACACAGCTGCCTACTGTAACTTCTTTAGATAACATTATCTGTTAAATTAGTGTCTACTATACTATCCTATCCTTTAGTGCTCATACATACTATAACTAATGTACATGTACAGGATGAATAAATCAGACACCCTGTTGAGGACTCACATCAAAAGTCTTGGCTTCAATGTAGCTGTCCCTGAGCCCCGTGTAGCTACAGAGCAGACGGCTGCCCAGGTCCTGGGGGTGTGTATTCAGATCCCCTCCCAAAATCACCACATCTGCATGGCCTGAAGTGTGCCTGCAGGGAAAGAAATCAGTTTTATTGTTTGCTCTTTAAGTTGACTTTGGTATAATACACTTTGTACAGCAATGAAAAGCTTATTCCAGCTTCATTCTGAATCATGTATTCATTAAGAGTCATTCCAAATCACAAATAACAAGATAACTCTTATCAGTTACAAATCTTAATTTCTTAAAAGAAAAATGCATCACTATTTTTACATTTCAGGGTTAGAAAGCATCAACATTGATAAGCACATTCAAAACATAAAAAAACAAAAGCAAAATATACACATCTCCTAGGATACACAGTGCGATATGAGGCAACCAAACTTCCGATGATGTGTGCAGCCCTATTATATTGTAAAAAAGCAAGCTTGTGAATACATCTGTTTTAATGCAACAGAAATATTGCTCTCAACTTCAAGACAGCTTTGGTGATACAACTTACTTGTTAACTCTGCATGCAGATCATGTTGGAACATTTCTGTGGTGAAATGTCTGCTGCACAACCTGTACTTATTCACTCATACTTCGCATTGCATTTCAGTGACAAGTGAGCAGGAAGGGCTACTCCACGTCACAATTCTGGGAAACTCTCGCTTTTGTCCGTGTCGAGACCAGGGATTTGCAAAAGATGGCGACTATACCGTACATTCACGATTTTGTGCTTAATTCAGAATTAGTACAATTTTGATTGACGGTGTCACAATTAATTTTGTTACCGAGATTTAAGAACCAGTATGAGAAATTGGGACTGCAGCTGCTCTTTAATTAAATGCACATCAACAATTGCACAGAATCAAACTTTATAATGCTGTTTAAAGCATTGTTTTAAGATGGCATCACTCTTCAGCAAACAGCTTAAACTAATAATTGATTCTGAGTGTTACCTAAAAGATTAGGCAAATATTCAGCATGTGTTTTTCATGTGACTTGCTGCTGAGTTAATGCATTTGGCCAATATTTAAAACTGGTTGTGCTGGGCCTACAATGACACACAATCTCTCTCCTACCTGATAAACTGAAGCAGCTCCCATGCCTGGACCACACGGTGAGGCAGGTAGGCATCTTTCTCCCTGCTGTATTCTGCATGCAGCTATAGTAGAGAAAGATCATGGCTGTAAGACCAACCAGTTACTTTATCTCCCCCTCCCCTCTATTAACTGCAAGTGTGATACCTTTGAGGGTAAGTGCAGTTTTCAGCATTAAGTTACTGACCTACAAATATAGAGCACTTCACAAGAGAATTAGAAAATGCTTTCCCCCTAATCTACCATCCAAATACCCTAGTAAGTTTTATCCCAGCTGTGAATGATTATACAACTATGCCTCATAAGCAGTGATTCTCACATCCATGGAAATGTTCCATCTTTATAAATTGATAAATGATGTAAATTTAAAGAAATTACATTTTAGTTTAAAACAAAGCTTGTGTAAAATATTTCCACTAAAACATTTCTTGACTAAATCATATTTAAAGGTCCAATATCAAGTGTGGAAGACACTGTAAATTAACCTTGTTAAGAATACTAATACCTCCTAAAACACTTCTGTGCCACTGGGAAACTCAGGAAAAAAAAACACTTAACATTAACATTTTGTTGGGGAAAATTTAAATTCACACAAAACATGAAAAACTACTCAACAATGTAGGTAAGTCATACAGGAAATAACATTTTTGTGAACACTTCTATTTCAAAACTGAAAACATGTCAGGGACACTTTTCTTAGATAAACTACACCAGCACATGCATTTTTCTTTCTCAAAATATGCCTTTTGATGTTTTCTCAGATGGGTTAAATACCTAGATTTAAAGTTTTGACAACTCTTCAGTTCCTGACTGATTTATATTTCAATAGTACTCTTTTATGCATAATTCTTAAAAATAATTATTGTTAACAATGACTTAAATATTTACAAATACTTATTAAATACATATATAACATACTAAAGATATACGTACACTATAGATTGACCCTTTTATCACCACAGTGAGCGGTCATATTTTTAGACATTTTGAAATTGAACACCCTAAGAATCTAACTTTGAAATGACAGTGTCAAAAGTATCCAAAATATAGGTGTCACTACAAACTTTTATTTAGGACAAATGTTATAAAAAGAAACAACTGTAATTTAAATGAAAGTGTTACTTCAATTTACACACAAAAACTTCAAGTCATCCAATAATCATTTAAATGTTTACGTAAAAACTTTAAACCTAAATCTTTATATGAAAAAGCTATAGCTCTATAAATGCAATTCACTTATCATTTATTCATAAAACATTAAAAAATTATAATAAAAGTTCTCCTTCCATACCTAAAACTTTGTTACATGCCATCACAAGTCTGAGCACAGTCTACATTTCAGTATAAGGTCATTTGCCCTTTTAAATTTCCCTTTCAAACACATTAATTATCTATGAATCTTAAAACCCAGTTTTAAAAGTAATTAGATGATAATGAATACAGTAATCCTGTTTAGTGTTGGTTTTAGTTAAAAGGATAACCATGCAAACAGAAACCATTAAATTAAATTAATACAGTGACATGATATAATGTTGTACCATCTTAAATATGGGGCAATTTACAGTATGGTACTTTCAACTACTGATAAACTTGATGCTGAGTACATGAGATTTAAACACATTTAATATCTATATAATAGGATGGACATACATGCAGGGCAAAAGCCCGGTAAAACAGTTATATTTAAAATAAACACAATCAGAGATCGCTACTGTGTAATTATTAATTTCCCCAATGTAATGTGTATCAGATTCATTCATTTTCTGTAATTCCTGTCTGCTCAGGCACAATATATCTGATAGGGCAACACACAAAGTAAGTCAAGTGTATTGCTCTCTAGCACAATGTTTCAAGTAAGCCAATCAGGTGATCTTCAAAGAACTGAGCCTCCCCCTACCAATCACACATTCTTTATACTATACATGCAACATAAAACAAAGTTTTAACACAATAACCTACAGTTTACTTATCAAATTGTAAAATATCAATTAAACTATTAATTTAACGTCTGCCACATCCATCAGGATATCCAGAATCACTATTATTTTATGTCAAAACACCTGCCTTTGTGTCTTAATTCATATAACATAACTTATGCTTTATTTTCATTTATAAAAAAATCATTAACGGTATACAGACCAGACAGTGACTAGATAAATGTGTTCATGTCAACAACAGAGAGAACTGTAGATCACATTAAAACATGGGCTGTATCCAGGCAGAATTTACACTGTTACACATGTAACAATTCACTAATGCTGCAGAATGCAGGTTACTGAGACTTGCCACTGAACTCTATTATAACACTCTCTTGACAGCATATCACAGCTAATTCTGTTAGCAAAACCTGAAGGGAAAGAAAAAAAATATATCTAAATTCTCAAAAATGCTACACTTTTGAATAAATGTATAGATTGATAACCTTGATAATGGACCTTTAAAGACTGACAGGCAGACAACATATGCTCTGACTCACATGTGTCACGTAGACATGGATAGTCATTCCACAGATGTTTAAGATGACCATTCCCACAGCCTTCCCCCCAAACCAATCACCATGGTGTGCCTGACAGATGAAAAGATGATTAACAGACAACTCATACTTTAACATAAACCTTTTAAAACAAATGAACACTGAATAGAAAGACTAAGACTAAGGAGAAATGAATCTTTTAAAAACAAAACACAGATAAAAAATTAATATATTCATAGTATTGAAAGGAATTGAACATTTGAACCCAGGGAACATGATCAAAGTGAATTGGCCAAGAAGCAAGACGGAAAACAGGTGGCCCTTCTTTAAACAGAGTTGCTGGAGTGTGGATCAACCTCTGTAACCACACTGTTGATGCAGACACTTAGATACTGTTTCTACTCTTAACCCTCTGTGAACCATGTCTGTCCATACACTTAATAAAAGCAGAACCTGCAACTGCAAGTATCTGTTTAAGATTATGAGGTCCCTTTAAAAGGTTAGTAAAACATAGCCATGATATTATATATTTTAACCATTATATACAAAAAACAAAAGGAACTTTACATAAGTTGACTATCCTTGCTTAGATATGTAAAGTTGTTCACCATCATCTGAATATCAAAATGTATGCAGGGTAGGCAACAAGTCAGTCTTCTTGAGCACATTCAGTTGTGTGATCATGTACTCTCAAGTTGAGCTCCCATTTCGAATGTGAAAGTCAATAATTCTTTAAATGCACTATCAAATCAAATCGATATTCATTAACCTAAACAATCTAGTATGCAGATGATGGACACAATCCCTCCTACCAAAAATTTCAAGATGAACATTCTGCTAGAAAACATCTGTATTACTGACTATAGGAGAGGTTCTATTAGAGGATAGTACCTGTACACATACTACCTATTCCACTACAAAAACTATAAAAAACTTCTTTCAGCTACTACAAAAATATCTGGATGGTCAACAATTCATCACAAATGAAGATGGTAATATGTGCTTTAAAATGATTCAGGTGGGGTTTCATATTTGATCGGGTTTTTCAAATTTGAACAAGTCTATTTGATGTTGGTAAGGAAAAGTCCAGGAATGACATGAACAAATCACTAACCTTGTACAAATCACTAATCAAAGTGATTGTCCTGTTGCAAGGTTTAGGCAAACCAGTCTTAAATATACTGGAAATCATGTTGAGATGGTAATGTCAGGTTACAAACAAAAGGAAGTAAATGGAAGACACTGATCAGCTGCTAGATTCTAAAAATATAATTTGCGCATTGTTAAGTTTACCAAGATTTGAAACGTCTAACTTTTCTAATACCTGATTCTTAAACTTTACTAATATTCCAATATCTATTCTAATGTCCTACAATAATTAAAGCAGTAAAAGTGCCAGATCAAAGTGTAGGGTGTCAAAGTGGGTCATCTGCGACAGAGGCTCCGGCGGAGGAGGAATAAGCTCCTGCTGCCCACCGTCATCCTATTGAACGTGCGCTCATTGAGGAGTAACCTAGATGAACTGCATGCCTGCGTGCAGTTCCTGCACGGGTTTCAGGATGCCTGCATTCTAGCTTTTACGGAAACTTGGCTGGATGAGACCATGAAGGATGATGTTATCAAGCCCGAGGGGTTTTCTCTACACCGGCTGGACAGAGATCCTGAAAGCACAGGTAAAAATCACGGAAAATCACTGCTTGATGATAAACAATCGCTGGTGCCAGAACATTACTGTCCAGGAGAGAGTGTGCACGCCTGACATTGAACTGCTCAGTGTTTCTCTGCGCCCCTTCTATCTCCCTTGAGAATTTCCACAGCTTTTTATTACACTTGTCTATATCAACCCTAAAGCGAATGCAGTAAAGATTTCCAATATAATTTCCCCAATATAAAATTCCTATTCCTAAAACTGCCAAGCCTAGTGGCCTTAACAGCTACAGGCCAGTTGCTCTCATATCTCTCCCAGTGAAAAGTCTTGAGAGAATAGTGAAGCAACACATCACAAAGAGCATACAAGCCCTCAATGACCTCCTGCAGGGAAAGGAGGGAAGTAGACCGTGCAATTCACACATTGTTATATCTGGTCTATCAACATCTGGACCAACCTGGGACCTTTGTAAGGATTTTATTTGTTGACTTCTCCTCCGCTTTCAATACAATACAACCACTGTTGCTTGCACAGAAACTCTCAAAGCACTTCAATCTGAATGGTAACTTGATAAGGTGAGAACCAGACCTCCTAACTAACAAGTTAAATTGGGGAAGTGCTACATTATCTACACATCAATTGGATCACCACACGGCTGTGTCTTGTCCCCTCTGCTGGACATTTTGTACACTAATGATTGCACAAGCAAACAAACCGACAGACATCTCATTAAGTTTGCTGATGACACAGCCCTGGTCAGTTTATTAAAGGACACATTTTAAATGATTTTACTAACTGGTGCAATGAGTTCTCCCTAAAGTTAAGCGTTTCAAAAACAGAGGAACTGGTTATTGATTTTATTAAAAATACCACACCCCCTCAACCAACTATAATTGATGGTCAGCCTGTTGAAATTGTCGATGACTATAAGTACTTGGGACTGGTCATTGATACCTAAAATGGGACAAAATGGGACAAATGTTGTGACACAATAAAAAAGGCCAACAGAGACTCTTCTTTCTTAGGAAACTCAGCTACTTTAAGGTAGATAAAACTATTCTTACACTTTCCTAAAAATCATTCACTGAAAGTGTCTTAACACACTGCTTCAATTGCTGGTTTGGCAACAGAAGTACCAGTAATTGTAATAGGCTGGGTAAATTAGTGAATATAAGTGGCAAAATAATTGGGAATAATTAAATCAACCTAAGTATCCTTTACAGAGGGAGACAAAGAAAGCCAAAAGCATCATGGAGTGTGTGCCCACCCCTTCCACAGTGAATTCACACTTCTCCCATCTGGGAGACACCTCTGTGCCCCCAGGTGTAAAACCAACAGACTCAGGAAATCTTTCATTCCCACTGTAATTACACTCTTAAACAATGCAAAGTAACTACCTGGTCTCTTGTTTCTTATCTCCTGTAACACTACTGTATTCTCTTCCCTTTTCGTGATGTTTATTTGTCAGTGTTGTGTTTGACTGTGCCCAACTTTTTTTTTTACCCTAGGGGACAATAAAGCTTGAGTTTAATTGAATAGTCCAGAGGTGGCAGGTTCAAAATTGGGCAATTGGTGAGTATTTTTCCCCAAGAAGCAGCACAAACCTGATCACAAATCTCAGTGGGTTACCTCCAAAGATGCTGCAGATATCTTCACAATGTCACAGAACTACAATGGTCTGCCACTTTAAATATTTAGTGTTCACAAGAAGCTGCATCACAGCTTCTGCCAACATTTGTTTAGTGTATTTTAGTGTTTTAACTCTGCCAGTGATGCTACTAGCTTGCAGATTGAAAAAAAAAATGATGCGAGTGAGATGAGAGATACACAGGTTTCCCCTCTTTCACACTATTACAAGAGTTGAGGAGACATGCGATTAAGAATCGATACCAAAATGGGAAGCATTATAAGAAAAAATAAAATTATGAAAAAATAAGTTTCTTGACTTGGTAAAATATTCGCAAAAACTCACCATGTAGGGATAACCATTCAAAGAATAGCGGTAGAGAAATGTGTCATGGATTTTATGCCTGGAGAACACAGCAAGCCCACTTCCTATTACTCCACTGAAATAAAAACGAACCAATCAATTATTATTGCTGTTCCTGCACGAAAACATGGATTTCTCAGATGACAGTTACACAATATTATTCTTTACTTCACTCCAGTACCGATTGAAAGAAAGCAATCTAGAAGTTTTTCTAAGAGTGTGTTCTGATGGTTGTCTGGCACTATTGCAGTATGCAATACCACAACAGAGTGCCAGAATACCAGAGTTCCTTATGTATACAATTAAAAAAAAACCCGATTAACTGCGTCATTATTACCATGGCTGTGTTATTTTTTTGTTATTTTAATTTTGTAATACACTCCTGAAACCACAGATGTTTGTATAAGCATCAAGGTTCTACCTACCCAAATAATCTAATCGATTCATTAAATTATTTGTCTGGATGATATCAACCTAATTACAAGGACAAATGACAGTTACAATCCCATAAAACTAAACATTTTCAACATTTAGTCATATCATGTGTGTTATTATTGATTTGTCTTTTACATGAGAGTAGATCTGAAACTGACATTTATTGGTAATTTTTAGCATAAACCTGTTAGTGAAAATTTAACGGTTGGGAAAGGTGGATTCTTACAGTTTTGTCATTAAATACAACCACTGATTAAAAGGTTCAAAGAAATGCTGGCTTTTACCCAAACCCTCACTTTAGCCTGTTAGTAAGAAAATGCAGGGTCTAATACAGTAAGCTTGTTAAGATGTACATGTAAGCTGTGTCCTCCATACCTATAAGAATATTTCAGATAAAGAAATACTGATCACTGACACAATGCCTACACACTGCAGATCCCACAATAAGCACAGTTTGCTAAAACTTACCATGAAGTTTCTGAAAAATAACACATTAAATGCAAAAGATCCACACTGACAAATATTGGATTAATCAGCTCATAATACTTCAAATTAACAGCCAAGTACACTATGTATAGTTCTTAATTAAACATAATTAAGACAGGTTCCTAATGATCCTTTATATTTTTATCAGCTCACAACTTTCAGGATATTCAACACAAAATAAGTGTGCAGGTTGAATACAAATATGCTCCCATTTCTATTGTAGCTTTGTGGACAAATACAAATACTATGAAAAAGAAAATGGCAGTGTAATGAATGTAGGTTAATTATTTGAAAAAATATTTCCAAGCTTAAAGCAAACAGTTAAATGATATTGTCACCCATAGTCAATTGCATGTATGCTGTATTTTATTTTTTTCGTCCCTGAAACACAGATCCACAAAAGAAGAATGGGAAAGACAATTCCATTTTACAGAAAAATGCAACAATAAATACTTTCTTTCACTGAACTGCATTGTTTACTGTATTTGCTCCTCGATACTTTTTTTCATTTCCCAGTTTTGTTTAATTTTCCAACATAAATATATTTCTTTGATGAATCTCGGCAAGTATAAATGTATATAATTTGTTAAAATAAGCAGAGATGTAGTATTATTTGAGTATTATTATAAACAGGTTTAGAGTTCCTGGCTTTGTTCCTGAACAGAACATTTCAGAAAATAAAAAAAGCAATTGGGGCAATAGATAATTCTTAACACACAACATATGACTTTTGTCAGATTTATGGAATTATTCTGCAGCAGGACACCAATAGCCCCATCATGTTATACAGGTCTCAGAAAGCAGCTTAATAGGTAAGGTACAGTCTTTCTGTCTCTAAGATGCTCTCTAAAATATATATTTAATGTCATGTGATGTTTAAAACAAGCATGTTTGCTTTTAGGATCTTACTTGTCCATACAGTGTGTTACTCACAAGGGCTACAATATGGGCATTACTTGTCACATACTAAATTTGAAAACAAGATGTAAAGCATGTCAATGAATTGTCCATTGATGCCTTGATTATATAATTAGCCTTAGATGGTTATTGGCATTGAGACACACTCAGTCACATTTTTTAAATCAAGGTCAAATGTCTTTAAACATTCCACAATGCCCTGTGCTACTGTAATCTGTAACCAACTGCATGCATGCTTTTGCAGAGAAACTGTTTCTGTTAGAATAACAGTTAGTCCACTGGTACATTATTGTCCTTGTAAAGCACACAACATGAGCAAAACAGTTATTTTTAACATCTGTAGATTCACCAAAAGCTATGGATACGCTGTCTGATGTTTTGATAATGTCTTTGTTTTCATGAAAATCTGTAGCTTGCAGTAAATATTCCTGTATTAGCTGACTTGCTGTTGGAAAGGCCCTCCGGTTTATCATGTTTGAAGAGAAATGCACATACAGAATCCTGGAATGATCATTGTGTTCAGGCAAATTTTAGTGCAATGTCTCTGTCAAATCATAAATTACAGCCTGTCAGATTTCCAAGTGCTCTTTAGCTTTGTATTTTTCTACAAAGAGCTCCCTCTCTGTTTCTGTCTTTCATTTAGTGCATTTGTTTTTTTGCTTCATTTTACATGTCAGCCTCATGTTATCTTTTAAGTATGGTTCAATGATAAATTACAGGTTACACAAATTAAGTTACCTGCTTCAATCAGGTGGATATTTTTGAACATATTCATACATCCAATTAATTTCTTCTTGATGTAATTTGTATGTGTGTGTTCATATGTTTCTTTACTTACGTAAATTAATTAATTGATAAACATACATTTAGTACTGCACTGCATCACAGATCCTGTGCTATTTACCTAACAATTTCTGAGATTAAACTGCCTAACTTCTAAGCCTAATGCCTAAATTACAAATTAGGAGCACTAAAGGTCATGTGGGTAGGATAAACTCTAGGTCCTACCTATGGCACATGTGATTAGTACCATCTGTGGCATATGTATGTGGTTGTAATTATTCTGGGCTTCTGACTGGCACAGCTGGGAAAGTGGGCAGGCCTCTTTGACAGCCCTGCAATTAATAGGGGAGCAGGCTGCTAGATAAGAGGAGCCTGGGAATCTTTACTATTTATACCCAGCCTGTCAATGACATTGAATCCCACTTTCAGTTTGGTCTCTTCTTCACCTTGCTTTACTCTGACACTAAAACTGTGTCCTTCCACGGTACATGAGCAAACCATTTCTTTTTTAACCCGAGATAAAGTAACACTGCTTTTAAACACTTTCCGGATTCAGCAGTATTAGGTTAAAAAAGCTCCTAGAGTATGTTGTATATGCTATAATATTTCACATGACTTATGGCTAGTCAGCCACTTACAGAATATGTATATGGTACCCTAAAAACCATAATACTTCAGCAACAGTTGTCACTATTAGTAGCAGTATGTCTGAGACTGAAATGAACTCTGAGGAAACATTTTTTTTACATAAATCTAATGTTTCCAAAGCAAATTATTGGTTCTTAGGGGTGAGTAAAATTAAGTCATAAAATTGCATTTGAGTTATTCATTAAGTTTCCTATTCCGTATATAGATTTACAGTAATAATTAGTGATTTTTTAAAAAGAGAATAGAACCTTTTTTATGACCTCGCTGAATATTGTTAGCCCTGCTTTATGAAGCTTTGAATTATTCTGAAACAAATATGCTGTATTTAATATTTATACAGTATTTATGGGAATTAGTTCAGGTGGGTAGCTGCATCAGCATGCGTAGTCTGCAAAGGAACAAGTAATAGGTTTATTTCATGCTGAAAAGAGAAGAAAGAAAACACAACGTTTCGGCCATGGAGCCGTGTTTTCTTTCTTCTCTTTTCAGCATGGAATAAACCTATTACTTGTGTATTTATGGGAATGTTGGGTGAGTAGAAAAAGTTGTAGTGAGACTAGAAAAATGTCTTTTAATGATCTTTTTAATCATTACTTAATGACTCAATGGTACTCACCCCTGAGAACCAATAATGTGCTTTGGAAACATTAGATTGCCGTCAATCAACAGCATATGCAACATTAAATCCTCGATTTAACACTGGTACACAATGTCTCTGTACACATTTGGATGAAGGTCTTTAAAATATTTTAAAAAAACCTGTTATCTTCCTGAAGGATTTGTAGTGGGTTTTTCCTCCATGAGGAAGGCTTTGGGCATGGATAAATAATCCTTGGCTTGCACAGGCTCCAGTTACTTCTAGTTTCTCAAAATAACCAAGGTGCACCCTTGCTATGACAAGCATGCTGAGCCTTGTTCAGTCACAGCAGTTCTAAAGTGTAATGAACTCAACATATTGTGTTGAAAGTATCTTCTTACAAACATCTCTAAAAGTAAAGAACCAACATGGGTGTTAGGCCTTATTTTTTTCCCTGTAAGACTCCCCCTCCAAACTGTAACCTGCACTGTGTGATCCTCAAATGTATAGGTCTAACAACATAAGAACAGTATGGAATGAAAAAAGACCGTTTAGCCCTTTGTATCCTGTAGTCTAACAGATTCTGGTAGTATGTGTTTCGACAAAATTTAACTACAGTTAATTAACAAATTAAAGTTTTCACAAATAAATTTTAAAATGTTTCCATGCATTTTCAAACCATCTAAATTAATCAAGTGAAGTAAACCATTTACAATTTCCATATAAAACATCAGTAGTTACAATTGCAGGTGTAGTGTATAGACTGTGTATGCAGTACACATTTATTCATATAAAATGTATATACTGTAGCTGTTTTACAACTAATGTTTGTTCATTTTTAACAATTTCATGTAAAATGGGTGGAGTTGTCTGCCCAAAGGTGCATTTAGACTGCACAGCTATCTTTAGCCCTCTTACTCAGAGAGCCTTTTAAAAACCACTTAAAGTTTTTAAAGCATTTTTAGCTGATTAATTGCATAATTATTTATAATAATTTTAATTTTTGAATGAAATGCTTGACAATTGTCATTGTTAAAAAAAATGTTGAATTAAGTTTTATTTACAAATTCTTTGCAGTGAGCTTTGATTTTAAGTCAACTGTAGCTTACTTTATTTTGGGTTTTTATTGATTTTACACCATATGAACAATGTACAAACTAAGACAAAGATATTTTATATAAGTGTGAACTGTGGAAATGGAGACAGTTGGTGGCTGGAGGGACACCGGGACAAAGACTGTGCAGGAGCATATGTGTCACCCAAGCAAAGCAATTATAATCCTGGAGCGTGGCAGGGGATACACAGAGTACCTTCATCAAGAGACTGTTATTGGCCGCACGCAAGCGTGTTAAATTGAGAACTTATATGTCCTAAATTAAGAAGTGGTACACATATATTTTAAGGCAAGTAAAACCAGAAATGTGCAAATTTAGAGGACTGGAAATTGAGAAATTTGTGCGAGTACAAAGCACACTAATAACACGAAGCTTTCTAGTGCAAGCTGAGAAAATTAGACTTAGCTGAAACAACCACTATCAATGAAAAGCAATACAAAACCTAATATTCAGCAAGTAAGAATTTCGAAATCCTTTAACAACTTTTTCAGTTGTATAAATTCAATAAACATATTTAAAAATAAAGCCTGGGCTGTAATTCTGAATTTCATAATCACCGATTATGAAATAACGGGTACATTTCGCCATCTAGTGGACATACACTCCAACTGTGGCTTTCTATTGCATCTGTGGTGATGCACAATACAATTGAATGAAAAACACTCAGAAGTGAACAACTCCAGGTTATTTACTGTAGTTACTGCTACTGTAGTTACAGTCTAGAGGTGTTTATTTGTCCATGTGGACGTTGTAGCAGATTACTTATTTAAAGTATTGAATTATAGTGTTCTTATTGAATTAAGAAGGAGCTTTGGGTAGCCCAGTACAAGGGCTACCCTCCAGGATATCAGGGATAAGACCTCTAATTTTATGGACAATGCCCTGGTAGTAGTAATAATAATAAAATAATAATAATAATAATTGCTTTCACTTATAAAGTGCTTTTCTGGACACTCTACTCAAAGCGCATTAGAGGTAATGGGGACTCCCCTCCACCACCACCAATGTGCAGTATCCACCTGGATGATGCGACGGCAGCCATAGTGCGCCAGAACGCTCACCACACATCAGCTATTAGTGGGGAGGAGAGCAGAGTAATGAAGCCAATTCATAGATGGGGATTATTAGGAGGCCATGATTGGTAAGGGGCAATGGGAAATTTGGCCAGGACGCTGCCCCCCTACTCTTTTAGAGAAACACCCTGGGATTTTTAATGACCACAGAGAGTCAGGACCTCGGTTTTACATCTCATCCGAAGGACGGTGCCTGTTTACAGTATAGTGTCCCCAGAAGGTCTCCTATCCAGGTACTAACTAGGCTCACACCTGCTTAGCTTCAGTGGGTTGCCAGTTGTGAGTTGCAGGGTGATATGGCTGCTGGCTGTACTAGTGACTGTACTCAGGACCAGGTTTAATGGCTCTTCCAATGGATGGCAACTTCTACAACACGATGTCTCCTTTTTTGGAAATTCGTCCAGGAGGGTAGAGACCACCAACTGGTCCAATAATGCCACTTCCTGTAGCAACCTGGTCTTTCATAGAGTTCTCCCATCCCAATACTAACTAGAGTGTTGCCCAACTTCTAAGATTGACAAGATCAGGCTTGTAGCTGGTAACACTTCTGTCATAGTTCACCTCACACTTCAAATCATAAAAAAATATCAGACTTCACTATAATACAGGTATGAGGTGTAAATACAAGAGGAGAATTACAGTGCTCCGGAATGCAGACTTTAAGAAGAACCAATATGTTGTATCTAAATGACAGTTTTGTGTAAAGACAACAAAAACAGGTGAAGAAGAAAGGTTACAAAATAGAGTAAACAGTGCTGGTGTAAGTGGGAAAGCTTTCATTCACCTTTTGAAGTAATGGGAGTGGGGATTGCTACATGTTAGTTTCTTTTTCAGGAACATATAGTCTTTCTCACTCCAGACCTAAGAAAACAGAGAAATTCCAAGTTAACGGTTCTTAACATCTAAATACACAATCCATCTCTAGTGGGTTTAGAACATTCTCCTGTTTAAACACGTGGCATCATTCAGATACTGAAAAGGGAGTTGGCAAAATTTAGCCTTTTTTCTCATTCTTCAATAATAAAATTCTACATAAGATTATAATTACTGGTACACTTGTAGAACAAGATCCTAGACAGACTAAATGTTGATATTGATTTACACTCAGTAAATCATACAGAGAGAGCAGCTATAAGGTGCTATAAAATTTACATCTTCAGACAATTTCCGTTCTTCTGCCTTTATAATTCATATTGTTGAGCTAGGTGCACAACAAAAAAAATCAATATATCACTCAATAAAGACTTATGTATTAGATATTTACATAAATACATAAAGGAAGAGAAGGGGAACTTTTTAGTTGACTAAAAATGGCTACCTACAATGTTTATTCCCTTATAAATTTCAGTAATCTCAAAACTTAAACCAGATCCGAAATGCATCATCATAACTGAGAAGACAACATAACTGACATAAGTTTAGCTTTTCACAGAAATTAATAATAAGGCATATTTTCTGTACAGATTATTAATATTATATGATGGCTACTCACTGATGTGCTGTTCATGGATGGTCAAAGCACAAATGATAAAAACAAAATGTTGAATATGCACATGAAATGGTGACTGAATAAATAAGAAAGCAGAAGCTAGGATTGGAAAAGCAGAATTAATGTCATTTTTTTTTTATCAGCTTCCGTTTTGGATATCCAGGCATTTCACAGTGCATTTACTGAGATTTAAATATGGCTGAATCTACACTTTAACTTTGTGATAAGTGAGCATTTCCAACTTAGTCATTAACTAAATAACCCTGACATATTAACAGTAATGGTTTATTAATTTATTGCTGTGGGAGTATCCTTAAATCATCCCCTTCTCTTCCATCAAGAGATTCACTTTAATACAAGTCTGTTTTAACTTAATACCACACTTTTAAACTAACAAAGGTACAATAAACTACAGCTAATAAACAGATCCTGTTAGCAAGAAGCTTCTGTATATCAATATTTTAGTAACAACTGAAAGCGTATATGTATAACATTCACTGTAACACGAAACAATACAAATAAGAATGGCAAAGCTTGTAGCTCTTGGGACGAAAATATAATTTCCGCAATTCTGGTGCATTTCACACTTCTGTCAAAAGTTATTTCTTTATAAAGCAACATGTAAATGGCAACCAATTACAAAAGCTGCCCAGTCAGTTTGCATAGCGCAGTCACAAGTATGCAGCAGGTGGTGACAGCTACAAGTGAGGTATGGACGGTGCAAGCTTTTAGAGAGCTGTCCCACCTTCGACAAATTCTAACCATGTAAACAGCTCAAGGGGCTTCTTCCTCCTACCCACCTCCTGCAGCAATGCAATGTCATACTCCTCCTTATTCAGTAACTCCCCTATCATTTCATAGCGCGCTGAGCAGTGCCGGCTGAGGTAACGGAGACCCCTGGAAGACAAACAAAGACAGCTGAGCTTTATCCGAATGTCGTCATGAATAACCCTTTGATTATCCGTAGAGATCTCACATAATGAGGGCAGGATGGCAAGGATATAATTAATTACACAGGCTGAAGCTGGTCTCCCAAAGAATTTCTCACTATTATCTGCAGCATGTAAAATATCCATGAGTATCAATCAGTAACTGCTAGATGTCGAGAAACTTCAATTGCTAGTAAATGAGAAAGAAGAACCGCACCGCAAAGCAGGAAAAAAGAGGACACAAGCAGCACTCTTGGATTTAGCGAAGAGAACAGGGATTGAATGCAAAAGTTACACAGTATTGTAGAGGAATTTGGAATGGTGTTAACTGTAGGCAAGGCTTGCACACCTTTTGAAAAAAACAGTATATGCAAAGATTTCACAGCACTGTAGCAAAAAGTAATATGATTTCTTTAATTTCACCTTATTGTACATTTCACATTTTATCATAAATCATCCATGTGACAGATTTATTCACACAGCAATGTACTAACCACTTCCCTGAACTTGAGGAAGCTGGACTGAAGTGGGATGACTCATAAAATATGGTCTAGCAATCAACAGCAATAGCTTCACTTGAATGGTGCTGACTGAGCACGTTAAGAGGCTGTCCACAAACAATGTGATTTAAACACACAATGAGAGGTACGCTATCCTCATCTTCTGATTATGGTTTTCATCTTACAGATTTATCCACATGATCGTCAGCATGGTGAATGGAATCTGAAACTACCTTGTATGCCATAAAGTAGAGAAGTTAATGTAAGAAAAGTTTTTAAGAGTTTCAAATACTGTTTTGACTTACTAAAAATCCTTTTTTTGAGAAGTTGTCTTTAATCTATTCCTAAAGCAAAAAGAAATACTGAAAGAAATGCCACACCAATCCAACAGGATAATAGAAGAAAACAGACTGAATTAAATCAGTATCACTAATACAAATCCAAAATATTGTATTACTAGAAATAGTTTTTTTGTTTGCTCTTGTTCTCTGTAGCAAATCTAGACCAGTGATCCCAAAACCATTTCTGGGATGGCCTTGTCTGTACTAGTTTTGAGTCCAACCTCAGTATTCAATTAAACAACTAACTTAATAGACATATATAGGACTTTCGTTAAGGTCTTTTACAGTTGAACTTCACAAGAAATTCATTTAATTAAAGGTACATTTAACTATACAGTAGATAGCTTTGGAGCTTGGTAAAAACGTATTACAATTATGCAGCTTATTAAATATTTAGACTAATTACATAACTTAGAATGTGATTTGAACAAGAAACAGAAGGCACTAGGCCCCTTTAGGAACTGAATTTGATATCTCTGGTCTAGACTGAATAGATACTTGATCCAAGTACTGAAACCACTGGCTGTGCCAGTACTGAACCAGAAATTACATATTCAGCAATGCAGAAACTTGACTGAGTTAAGTTGCTACTTAGGTTACCTAATAGTTATAATACCATTGCAAGCATAATATGTATTAAATACATATTCAAAAGAAATCCGATCGTACCAGCAGTTGAGGGAGAATACGCGTAGTCTAAGAGTTGGTCCAGTCGATGACATGGCAACATCACAGGCAATGTGGCACTGAAAGCATGAAAAGATGTGATCGTGGTGTCAAAGTGCCAGCCCTTCCGCTTCAGACTGCTGACACAGCTCAATGGGAGTACAGTCTACCAAGAAAGAATGAGAAAAACAGCCCCTTTCATTAAATGCATAATTTTACTGCATTTAAAGATAAAACTGCTTATTCTTAAGAACCATGAAGTAGTGGGGAGGCTGGTGCAGAACAAATTCTTCAGGGATGGTAGGTGGTGTACAGTAAATAGGTGCTACACTTCAGTGGTCCCCTCACAGATAAAGCAGATTGGTATGCTTTAGGACAGTAATTCCCTGGTCCTGGTGACCCACACACCTGCTGGTCTACATTTCAATCCATCTTAAATCGATAATTGAAGCTTTATTTCATCTAAGAAGTTGCCTCAATTTAATATTTATATTTTGTTTCTAGTCACACAGTTTTATTTCACTTTTTGTTTCACACATTTGTGAGCTGGGAACAAATAGTTAATAATAAGGAGATTAACTTGAAGAGTTTGATTGCGTAAGTGAAACAGTATCCAGAAAGTCCTGGAATGTAAACAACTACAGAAATATTTAAATTGTAACCGTTACTAATGGGGCGTACAGAAAATACTTCCATCGCACCTTTCCAGACCTTGCTGTTCATGTAAATATAAATACCATCATTTTCACGTTTCAGAACTGCTTCAGAATTCTACATTCACATACACTTAACATCAACTGTCTTTTCAACATTTTTTGCAACTACTTTGAATAATTGCACAGTCTCTTTAAAGCAGATTCCATGTGAGCCGCTGAAAAGACAAAATAGTCAGCTAGTAAGCTTCAAATCACATGGCATTTGATCAATGTTTCAGCTGTACCTATAGCTGCTTTTACAGTCAGAACACTAAAAATGCATAATGGCACATGGAATTTTGCCTTCAGATATTCCAAACATTTTAATTAACACATGAGGATTATAGATCTCTCAATTAAAACAATACATTTTTGTGTCACTATAAATAAGAAAATAGGGCCAAAGGGGAAAAAACACTTCTTGCAGCAAAATAGCTCAAAATTTAGATATGAATGGCTCCTCAAGGCCAGACCATTAGTAACCCCCAGTTAAAGCAAAAGACTGCCAGTGGTAGGCAATGTGCCACTGCCTTGAGGAGCAGAATAATGATTTCCCTGTCTAGAACAGCTCCCTGGTGCCAATCCTACCAAAAACCAGTAAAACAGGTAGAATTTGCTGTTCAATTCCACACAGGTGATCCAGCAAGAAGAATGTGATGGGATTGGGCTATAAATATTTCAAAACCTTGCAGAACACCTGCAGTGCTAGTTAAAGCTTACTGCTCACAGAGGCCCAACTTTATGCAGTGGGTTCCTAAAATTTTGGCTAATGAGTAAAGCTGGTTACACTGTCATTTAAGCTGGGCAGTGACCAAGCAAGTATAATCAAACCAACAGAATGCACATTTTTAACACAATGCAGTAATTATAATTCACTTGCTTTTCCACCAGTAAAACTAAAATGCAAACAAGGTTTAAAAACTCCACAAGCATATGTATTCACTAAATTACATATTATTCTTAAACCAGATATCTCTGGGTGCGCGAGAAATGTGAGTATATACTGTATAAAACAGTTCACAAACATGCTTCACTCCTCCTTAATTATAAACTGTAAAACCCCTCTCTAGAAATAAGAACAATTGTTTCACAAGGTTTCCAACACTGGACATAAGTAAGGGCAAGATAGACAGCTGGCCCATATAGAGTTTGAAGAGGAAATAAAATACAGAGGCTACTATGATATTTGAAAACTGCAATTAAAGAGGTAAAATGACAGACTTAGATGATGCACTGCACATAATGCATTGCTGTTGGGCAAAAGTTGGAAGCCTTAAATCTGAAAACATAATTTTGTAACGCTTATGGCCGACAAGCACTGTGTGTAAGAGCCGGCGTACCAGAGCGGGTGACGTCACCGCCCTTCCCTGTGATAGCAGGACCGCAGCTACTGGGCTGTGGAGAGATCTCTCTTTAGCTCACGGGGCTAGGTCGCTGCAGAGAGACGCGGAAGTCCCGGGTTCGAGCATCCAGTCGGGATGGAGCCGACCAGATGCGGCAAGGGCGCCCGCCTGAGCCCCCGTTGCGTTACATTGGTGTCAGACCCGCCTGAGCCCCCATTGCGTTACATTGGTGTCAGAAGCGGGGTGGGATAGCCCTTCGCCGGGGACGACGATTTAAGCGGGGGAGAGTGTAACGCTTACGGTCGACAAGCACTGTGTGTAAGAGCCGGCGTACCAGAGCGGGTGACGTCACCGCCCTTCCCTGTGATAGCAGGACCACAGCTACTGGCCTGTGGAGAGATCTCTCTTTAGCTCACGGGGCTGGGTCGCTGCAGAGAGACGCGGAAGTCCCGGGTTCGAGCCTCCAGTCGGGATGGGGCCGACCAGATGCGGCAAGGGCACCCGCCTGAGCCCCCGTTGCGTTACAATTTAATAATCAAAAGAATTGTTCTCTCCAGTTAATACCGATTCCAATATTTGGAAAAACTAAAATCCGTACATGATGATCACGGTTGTGACAAAAAAAAACACACCTTAAAATATGAAGCTTCTTCATTCCCGTCAACGGATCAGGGTTATTATAAAATACCATCCAAAAGAACTGAGATCCTGCTTAACACAGTCACGGGCGTTTCTTAGTGTTCAGGTATTTAATTCTCTCGTAAAGCATTGGTACTGCTTTAACCGTGAAATTAATGGTGGGTCAGGTACATCAACGATTACATCAGCAAGAAAACTAAGAAATAATAACACTTTTTAAAAAATCACTTTATGATTAACGCCTTGGCTATGGAAAACATACTGTCGGGTGAGACGGGTACTTGTGAATCCTAACAATGGCAAACCATTGTTTTCTTTCTAGGACGCTACAGACCTTTCAACTATCTTCAATATGCGAATACTTCAATAAGGCAACTACCTTTCGTGTATATATAAGCAAAGTTTTGCAAAAGTGTCCTTCATGACATCTGTATTATAATGATTAATTATAAAATATATGCGAAATGATTTTGTTTACAAGCTTATGTCTAAAAAGATTGGATCTTTTCCCACTAGTCTGAATTCTGGTGCTTTTAAAAATACATAAGATTTCTGCAATATTATTATCTTTACGTACTTACCTTAGCTTTTTCCACAACATCACCTGCATTGCTAGACACAAACATTTAAGTTTACTTTAACATTCGCGTTGCATAAGTGAACTAAAACAAAAAACGCAAGTAAAATGTACATTAAATGTTAGGAAACTATACAGATAGCTACAGATTTGCAATACGGAAGTACATCACCGTTACAATCGGGGAGCAATCCCGGATTTTAATTAGCTTGTCTGCGAATTCTGCCACTTTGGGATAACCTCATATCTACAATACATTATACACCGCAAAGAGTCCGAAGAACTTCTTTAAACGCGTTTACCGTAGGACTTCTCAGAACCAGACGATGTCAGTTGAATTCAGATGCCACTAACATCCGTTTGATGGCTGTATTTTCGTCTTTATAAGACTATTCCATTCCGTTTCCTCTTTCTACAAAGGCCGGTTTTCCCATTTAACCTGCTGAACAGCTTGTACTACTGTATAAACCGAAACAGTTCTCATTAAAACTGTCGCGCTCAGCATGTTGGGACTTGCAGTATCATTCACAATGGAAGCTGCATTGCTTACACTTCAATATCCAGAATTCCCTGTACCACAGGCTCCTAGTAACAAATCGTTTTGGGAAATGTAGGCGGTAAATAGGCTTCATCTATTCAGGTGCAGCCTCACCTAATGGCTATACTTTTTTACAGAAAGCCCGTTGCTCAAGACGTGGAGCTGGTCTAGCATCCATCTTCAGCGAGTCTCTAAAAATTGAATTAAAAACTATAAATGACTTTAACACATTTGAGGCAATGCTTCTTAAAATAGCATTCGAATCATCCACATATATTCTTTAAGTATACAGACCCCCCAGGACCATGTAAATCGTTTCTAGCTGAATTTGGTTAACTGCTCTCTGACTTGGTTATTAATTTAAATTAAATTGTAATATTAGGCGACTTTAACATACACATTGACATAGAGACAGATTATTTCAGTAAAAACCTATTGTCCCTGCTTGACTCTGTAGGTTGTAGTTAGCATATTACAGGACCAACACCTGTGTATAATCATACACTAGACTGTATTATCAGTAATAGAGCTTATATTCATCATATAGCAGTCCATCCCATGGAGAACTCTTTTTCTGACCACTTTTTAATTACTTTTGAGATTCAGCTACCCTCTGTAGTTGCCAAGGAGATTATTACGACATGGCACATCAGTAGGGGTATGTCTTTAAAATTTTATGAACGCAATGAATAATGCTAACTTCACGTCCAGTTCTAATGTTGACTAAATCACACACAACTATAATACAGTGGTCAGATAGGCGCTCGATGAAATAGGCCTGTTAAAGACTAAGGTAGTCAAAACCATTAGACACTCTCCATGGTTTAATGATCACACACGATCTCTTAAATAGGAGTGCCACGAACAAGAGCACAAATGGAGGTCTATGGGTTTGCAGTATTCCAATGTATGTGAATATGGACTGATAGCCTGCAACAATATAAGAAAGCTCTATATAGAGCTCGTTCAGCCTACTACTCTGAACTTATAGAAAGCAATAAAAATAACCCTTGCTACCTATTTAGGACAATAGTGTAACGCTTCAGGGTTCTGGCAGGCACCCTTGCCATTGCTGCTTACAGTCAGTTCCGCACTGTCAGGGACACAAACCCAGGCCTCCGGCGTCACTCAACAGGGACCCAGCTTGGTGAGCCAAAGAGAGATCTCTCCCCAGCCCAGTGGCTGTGGTCCTGCTATTACAGGGAAGGCCGGTGACGTCACCGCTCTGGTAAGCCGGCTCTTATGCGTTACAATTGTTAATCTAACAAATAAGGCCGATTCAACAGTACCAGTTAACTTCAGTAGTGACATTTTCATGGACCTCTTGAACAATACAATTAACAACATCAGACTTCAAATACAATCAAATAGGCCGCAAAGAAGCCTAGTAAAAAAACAATGTGTGCACCTTTTCAGTGTTTTTCAATTAGGTAATGAACATGAACTAAATAAATTAATTATTAAGACAAAATCAACCACCTGTCCGCTAGATCCTATCCCCATCCAACTATTTAAAGATTCCCTCGAAGTACTGGCGGGGCCTTTAATTAGTATGATGAACACATCCCTTGCATCAGGCGTTGTACCTGACCAATTTAAGGTAGCGGTTGTTAGACAGTTGCTTAAGAAACCAAATTTGGATCCACAAGTTCTTAACAACTATAGACCTATCTCAAATGTTCCATTTTTATCTACAATTCTTGAGAGAATAGTTGCGGCCCTACTTCAGTCTTATCTGAATTCAAAGAATATACTTGAGAAATTCCAGTCTGGTTTCCACCAAGGCCACAGCACTGAAACTGCATTAACAATTCAATTCAATTCAAGGTCAACTGGCTGCCCAACCCCTTTGGACATGCTAACATTATACAATTAAAAAAAGGAATAAATGAATAAGGGTATTAATCCATCCATCATGTCTTGTGTATGTCAGTACTCCATGCGGATCTCTGTAGACCAGCAAAATCCTCCTAAACGATAGCTTTCCCCACCGAACTAGTTAAAGATTCCCTCAAAGTACTGGCAGGGCCTATAATATCCACGATGGATCCATGGCAGTGATGTAGCATCCAGCTCAGAGGGTGCCCAGCCCGGATGCCATCCGGACATGTGGGGAGGAGAATAGGATAGTTTGGTCAAAACAGATATATATACCTGATGGGCCAACACAGGGACACCCAATGGCATGTACAGCAGCACCAGCAGCAATGGTTACAGCAGGCTATGATGTAAGGTGTGAGTAAGCTAGGCTGAAGTAATAGGTTTTCAGTCTGGATTTGAAAACTGAGATTGACAGCATCCCAAACATGGGGTGGGAAACTGTTCTGTAAACTAGAGGCCCTGTTACTAAAGGTTTTACTGTCAAACTGTTTTTTTCAATAATGCATGGAATATGAAGAAGACCTCCATTCTGTGATCTAAGGGGGTGACTTGGATTGTATAAAGGGCTGGGAGATATGGCCAAAAATATTATCACGATAAAAATTTTCATATCAGTCGATATCGATAATTATCACGATAAATGTCAAATCATTATTTCTTTCAAGTTTAAAGGCAGATTTTTTCTCCTGAGTAAAAGTTGAAGAAACCAGACAGTTAATGTCACGGACGTCCAAAGGGACAAACCGTGGGGAGCAGGAGAGCGGAAAAAGCCCCATATGCGTAGCGGCGAGACGGGGAAAAAGGCCCGGGCTCATAGTGCAAAGAGTTCAGGAATGCCGTATAGAAACCTATGCCCTCAGGGAGCGGACGTGGGGCGCCCTGGTACTAGGTGGGTCTCAGGACATCCGAACGTCAATGCTGAGCGAGGACAGAGTGCAAGACCCGGAAATATATAGCCCAAGGGAAAGAGAGGGACAGGAAGGACAGCAGACCGGAAACTAGGGACAGGACAGAGAAGGAGCGCCCTCTGGCTGCAGAGGGCGTGACAGTTAATTGGTAAATTAAACAACTCTTTATTTTAAGAACACAACAAACACTTGCCAAACAGCAGAAACATTATACAAATCTGAGCTAGAGAGTATTCAAGTATTTTTTATGTCAAAATTTGCATGAGTAAAATTTACAAAATAAATATCTTAATAGAAAAATTAAATACTGAAGTGTGATAAAACACACATAGAAGATTTTTTCTCCTTACAGAGGAGGTTTTTTGTTCCTCTCCTCCGTTGTCTTCTGGTTTTTTTTCTTTCTGTGTTGTAATGTCATGTATTGTCAAAGAAATGTTACTTTAGTAGAATTTAAAGTAAACAACTAATATACTGTATACAGTATAAGCCAGCAAACATACACCATTAAACTTTCAGAGTTGGAGCTTGGTAATTGCTTCAATTGAAGCTTGGGGAGCTGAACACCAATAAGGTGTCTCTGCAACAGCTGCAATAAAAAGGTGAAGATCTTCCAGAGTCCTTTGCCCGAAGAGTCATTTCCACCACATCATACATCGACTGCTAATCCTCCTGTTTTGGCATTGTATGCAAACTTGACTACTTTAATAACTAGTCCAGAATCTTTCATTGATATTAATTAGGAAAAGCAGTGCTCTTGTCACAGAGTGACAAAAGTGGGTATAGGGTAGGAAGTTTAGGGAGTCACAGTATGTTGACTTTAAGTATACAATAATTACTAGTTAACTCCGTCAGGGTTGGTGCATTTTTGTTTGTCCTTATGTCATCCTCCTCTCTTTAATCAAGGTCTCCAAGGCTTGAAATAGAGGATAGAGGCAAAATGAGTAAAATTTTATTTTAATTACTACAGACTATGTATAGTAGCAATAATTCCATACAAAAAGGAGACCATATTATTCTTTTTCCAATGTCTCATGCACAACTATTCCTTGATGTTATTTCTTATATCATTACATCATCCCTCCTTTGAATCTTGTGAAGACTAAGCATAATTAAGTCAAACTACTCAATGGGCAAATTAGGACTTTAGAAAGAACTTTCTGTAAAGACTTTGTGCAGAAGATCATGGAGTTATGACAAATCAGAGTGGAACCACTTCCTTTCTATTTAACTTCCAAAGAGAAAATATTCTAAAATAAATTAAACTTGCTGGGTAGACTACTGGTTCAACTGGTTCAATTTCTGCCTCTTGTAGCTATTAATACTGCATGTTTTAATTGTTTAAATGTCATAGTCTCTGTAGTTCACTTTTTTATTGCAGCCGTCTATAAAATTTTAACAACTGCACTACAATTTCTGATGATTTGACCTAGTGTTTTCAGTGGGTTCTGCACAGATCCTGATCCAGAAATAATTCATATGGTTAAAGAAACATCACAGTTTTCATATCAAAATCCTTTAAATTTGGATTCAGTCCCATGTTATCTGATCCTGCAGAACATACCATATTTTGTTTGGATGTGATAGCCCAGTAGAGTAGTTATGGTTGAGCACTTGAACTTTTCATCCAGTTTCACTGCATGCCCATCTCTTTTCCAGCAGTGATGGCAATTTCTTAGCTAAATCATGTTAAATTGCCTTACTGAAATAAAAAGGTTAGACCTTTTTTGGACACAGACTAGTCTTCTTTGTAGGGTCCTGTACTGTCGGCCTAGCATGGGCTGCCCTGGGCTAATTCCTCTACCTTCCGATGGAGTAGCTCTGATTTAACAAGGGCAAGAAAAATGGTCATTTTGGCAGAGAATTTGCTTGGCCATATGCATCATTTGTTCTGCATCCCCACTGGCCTTTGGGTAATGACAACATGTTGTTGTAGCGGCGAGGCTTAATAATAAGGCAGAATTAAGTTTTTCTGAGCTTTCCCAAATTAGGCCTCATTTCTCTGTTCATCTCTGTGGTGCAGCCACAGAGAAACCATTCATGTAAGGTGATTTAAGGTCCAAGGACAGCTCCCAAAGGGGGATGCACTTAGCTAAGCCTGGCTATCATGATCAATGGTCACCCATTGGCGCCTATCTGTCTAGGGAGTGCCAGTTGG